CACCGGCGTTAGAGGCGATGCTAGGCTTGCTTCCGTTGGATTCCGTTGGACATATAAAGAAATCGGCGGCACTGGCAGCAATTCGCATGAACCGGAGCTCCACGTAGAACAACTTCGGAAAATTGGTGGGCCATCGGAAAATTCTTGACCAGGACCAGACCGCGGTCAAGGAAACACAGATGCTATTGAAAACAATGAAGAGAGCTTATGGGACAGAAGTATCCTATAGAACACTGATAGTAGACGGCCTTCTACATAATGAATGTATAAGGAATGACATATGCATATTTACCGATGGCTCCTTGATGGATGGCAGAGCTGGTGCTGGGGTTTACTCGAAAGAGCTAAATCTAACGGGCACTCTAAATCTAGGAATATATGTCTTCATCTATCAGGCGGAAGTCATGGCTGTCTCACATGCTCTGGATCAAGTGTATCAGAAAAAGATTCTGATAGCGCTGGACAATCAAGCAGTTATCAAAAGTATGCAAAAGACATACATAGCTAATAGCTTAGTTCAAGAATGTGTAACCAAGCTCATGGAATGTGTTCATGGAAATGAGGTGACGGTCATGTGGGTTGAAAGACACATCGGTATTGAGCAAAACGAGAAGGCAGATGAACTTGCACAGCAAGGATCAAGCCATAATTTCTGTAGCCCAGAGCCCAGAATACCACTAAATTACAACATGACGGCAGGCTATGTCTATAAGTGGATAACCTCACTTCATCTTAATAGATGGAGAGAGTAGAGCACTTCTAGACAGACCAAACTCATGTTGCCGAAACCGTGGGCCAGGAAAGCGATAAAAGTGCTTAACTATTCGCGAACCACTCTAAGCTGGCTGACCTCACTAATTACTTGACATGGTAACTTCAAGTATCACCTCAAAAAAATAACTCTTGCTGAGGAAGACACTTGCAGACTATGTCTAGAAGAAAAGGAAACAGCGATGCATATATTGTGCCAATGTCCAGCACTGGCAAGTAGGAGGAAGACTGTCTTGGGACACCATTGGGTTGGTGATGACTTGGCAGGAAACCTCAAGCTAAATCAGCTGCTTGCATTAACAAAAGATGTAGTTATGCGAACGAAAGCCACTCCAGCTTTAACTCAATAACAACATCCGAGAATCGAAAGACGAAAAAAGATCCAAGTAGTTTCGTTGTCTACTTCGACTAATCCTTCAACTCAGAGGGGCCACTTGTTGGACAGTGCGCTGTCCCAACGTCCCACTATATATATTTCAGCTTGTGAACTAGCTGTCGGAGATATCAAAACCTCTGATGCGATCACGCTGCTGGCCTAGAAACGCTATAGCAGATGGGGTTGAGTGGCCACAGTGGGCAGCTTATTGAAAAAACCTACGCATATCTCATTTTGGAGATGATGTAAGGCATGGATAGAAGAAGTTTGGCTTCTAAGGCAAACTGGTAAAGAGGAATAATATTATTACTTAAAGAGAAGGACTTTAGCTTGCTGGCTTGCTGAAAGTTTCATAGAGCTTGCTGATAGACTTAAGAAGGGAGATGGGACGATAGTTGAAGGAATCAGCTTTGGGTTTGCCAATTGTGGCAATGGGACATACTATGGCGTTCCTCCATTCTTGGGGGAAGCAACCAGTGTTGTACGCATGGTTGAAGAGTATGGCGCACTTTTTAAACAAGAGAGGTGAGAAACGACGCATGGTGTAAAAAGACACATAGTCAGTGCCAGATGACTTTTTGGACGCTTTAAGCCAAAGCATGTCAGAGTGGTTTGAAGGAGTGAGAAACCCTTGGGTGTTTTCAACATTGATGCAGTGGGCCAGGAACTACGAGGAGAAAGTGACAATGCATTCATTGAAAGCATCGAAAAGCCAATAAACTACGGAGTTCGTAGTAGAAATTAAGTGGTGCTCGAATAGGCCAGCCATAAGGCGGCGATTAGTCATAAAGACTTCACCAAAAACGTTGACTTTATCAAGGTCACCGTAAGCTATGGTGTTGCCATAACGGAGATCAGAGATGAACCTATTGGATCAATAGATTTGCCTGATCATACTGAAGACGTCAGACCGGCACCGGGTGGCCCGGTCTGGCACTAAAGGAACTGAAACTGGCTCGGTTGACTCTCTGGGCAATTATGGTGTCCAGGTTCTTGAGAACGATTTGGGACGCATGAGCTTGCATGGAGGCTATCTGTCTAAGACGATAATTTCTACTGCGAAGCGATTTCCATAGTTTAATAAGGTGGAGAGTACAAACATCAAGTGGAACTTCATAAAATTTGCAAACACACACCTTCAGAACATGCTAATCAATTGTGGAGGCGAAAATGCTTTCAAGAGCATCGGCAGTAAAATGATCTCCGCAGGAGTCATGTTCCTGTATTCGAGGATGGTCAAGACGTGCCAATGGTGATCTAGAAAATTGATATCATGTACGCTCTCAGGGTGCCCCAAACTTGCGATTTATAATCGCAGATGGCTTACAATTAAACAATATTGTTGTTTTCGCAAATATTGTAGTTTTCTATAGGTACTTCTGTCAATTTGTTCCTAGTGCTATCAATGTATCCCACATAACCTGGCATTTCGTCAATTTTTTAATTAACGATACAGCGTTTTTATTAAATGCTAAAGGCTAGTTTAAAAATTGCACTTTTTTTCTTACATATAAATCATGATTTCGCGAATGTAATATGGCTGTTCACAACTTCGTCTTATTTAAAATCATACATTTAATGTCACTGTTGAGAATAACGATGTTATGAATCACTGATATAAATATGTGTATAAGTAAGTAAGTAAATACAATATAATAAAGAAAACTCTACTACCAAATACATTATCTACACTTTGTAGAAAACAATTGTTTATCGATTTATTTTTATGTTCAATGTACATGTGTACAATGTAGCCTCGTTGGGCTTTACTATCTTGAAGTGATGAGAGGGCTCAGTATATATGATGATCTATTGAGCAATGCCGGCGATGAAGTAGCTACTGATAGGGCCTCCAAATCCGTTAAGGTTGATTATGAATATCGAAACCAAAAGCAATCTAAAATATATCGGCGTCTGTTACCATAAGTGTGGCTGTAATAAACGGAAATATGAAAACCTTCAGAAAGCAAACCACCTTCGTTCCTAGTTAATGCTGATAATGAAATAATTTTAAACATAGCTGAAAGGAACATTTATAGAAGGAAAATATTCAAAAAGTTTTTTCAGATGACAGCAGATCAAATCACGATGCATATTTTCCATATAAACTATCAACGCTATGCAATCAATGAAAAATAAAACAACAGACCCACATGAACTTTTATACGAAATTTTTAAACTAATAGACGAAAAAAATATGATTCTATACAAAATCAATTAGTAAAATAAATACGATCATTGCAATGAATTCATTGATGCATCCATCTATAATTATTCATACACCCATAATCAAATAGCACAGAACAAAAGAAATTTATTTTTTTATACATAATATTTTTGAATAACTCGAGAAGGAACGATCGCAATGGTAATACTCAGTCGAATCTTCTCGTTATTATCAATAACGTTTCAAAGATAGATGCAATTCTAATCGCTTTGTACATTTACCACTCTGTTGGCGGCCGATCACAATGGTAATACTCAGTCGAATCTCCTCGTTATAATTGTTATTATCAATCACGTTTTAAAAGTGAACCCGCTTAAAAGTGAACCCAAATGGAACACTGGTTTCGAATTGGAAATAGACTATGGAAATCACGTACATGTTTATTAATTTTAAAGGGTTGTTATTATCAATCACGTTTTAAAAGTAACCCGCTTAAAAGTGAACCCAAATGGAACACTGGTTTCGAATTGGAAATAGACTATGGAAATCACGTACATGTTTATTAGTTTTAAAGGGTTCTAATGAAGAACCTAGACACGCTAAACAATGTATTTATTAACAGGGATTACCAATAAAGAAGTTAAAAACCAGGACGACGTGGTCTTTAAATATTACACATTCACATGACATATAACACATTCCTATAAATGTGACAAGAATGTGATATCAAGAGATCGCGAAATATATATATAAGCGTAACGATATTAACTATGACCTCATTGTCAATCAGAAAACGCACTTATTAGTCAAGTGAAGATAATAACGGGACCAGAACGATGCTTTCGGCAGTATTCAAAAAGTTGCAGATGCACCTTAAAGAAACAATAAAATACACTACGGATTCCTGTTTTAAGTAACTTTGAGATAGTTAAAAATGTTTATCCATTTTCTGTATATGCCTTTATTCCTTTTTTCCTTCGACTTTTTTTATATGACTTTAGATAGCAGATATGGGGACTCGCTCAGTATGTTGGCAGAATTGACACCAGCACTGCCTTCTTATTTAATCATACCACTACATAATAGGTCTGTTCCACGAGCTACTCGTAGTAACTTTAAGTAACACTGTGTATACACAAGTACGTTCCACTAGCAAATTATCGAGTAAATGAGATTATCTGAGAGAGCGTAACATCCCTGTCGAAATTTGAAAATGCTACACAGACTTTACTCGTACATTTTATTTCAAGTAATGTGAATTTGTGTTAATATGTGAATCAGCTGTTTTGTTTTGAATTTAAATTTTTTGTTTATTTGTTTACGCGGCACTGGTGTTCTTACAAAACTTTACACAAAGCTGTTCCATGAAAATCTATGTAAAGAGCGAAATTTGTTACTTTATTTGTGTTTCGCTCTCAGCCTGTACTTTACTTGTGTTTTATTTGAGTTTTACTACTAGTAGGTCGTGAAACAGACCTAATGTTTACACTGTGTGGGATCTACAGCTTTATTGCATTATTCGGTCTAACATATTTAATATTTAACTAATAATGTATGTAAGTATTGTAGAAAACTATCTATCTATCTTTTCTTATTATGTACAAATTTGATGTCCAAAATATTGTTCTTTTTTTAACATATTAAAATAGCAACAGTACAATTTTCTGTTAATGTCAAAATTTTTAGGTTTTTTTCAAATCATTTCATTTTAAATAACTAAAAAAAACCAAATATGACTTCTTCATTTGGGATAACACCAAACGAGCTAAAGGATTTAATGGACTTAAGAAATAAGGAAGAGTCCATTACAAATATACAGGCACTTGGTGGTTCCAAAGGATTATGTAAAAAATTAAGGACCCCACCAGATACTGGTTAATATAAATGTATAAAGCAATATATATATCATATTCTTAAGTTTCTGTTTTAAGGTTTAAGTGGAACATCTTCAGATTTAGAAGAAAGACATCAAGTATTTGGATCTAATTTTATACCAGCAAAACCATCAAAATCTTTTCTAATCTTAGTCTGGGAAGCTTTACAGGATATTACCTTGATTATTTTACAAGTAGCTGCGTTAGTATCACTTTTTTTATCTTTTTACACCGCTCCAGATGCTGATGGTAATTACTTAAATATACAATACTTTAAAATTTTAATGCATACGTATTTAGACTTAGATGATGATGATGATGACGACACAGAGGAGCGGTATGAGTGGATTGAATCTCTAGCTATATTTTTTTCAGTTTTTATTGTTGTTCTAATAACAGCATTAAATGATTATTTCAAAGAAAAACAATTTCGAAGCTTACAGGATCGTATAAAAGGGGAACAAACATTCATGATATTACGGAATGCCGTTGTATCAGCTATACCTAATGATCAAATAGTTGTTGGAGATATAGCTTATGTTAAATATGGAGATACTTTGCCAGCAGACGGTGTTCTTATATATAGCCATGATTTGAAAGTAATTGTTTTGAATTTATTTATTACGCTGTGCGACAAAAGTAACGAGTTATTTTCTCTTTTTTAATTTTTCAACTAACATCCCGCCCTCTTGAAATAAGTGGTTAAAATTCAAATATTGAGGTTAAAGAGTTAATAAAAATATTTATTTAGAGATTTAATCAGTGTTGCACATTGATATTTATCAGAATTTTATATTTAGACCGTGTACGAGTTCGAGTAAATTGAGGTAAAGTAAATTGAAATTTCCTAGGGATTTTTTTGCACTGCACTTATGTAAATATTTATTTATTTATTTATTGCACTTATTTATTATTTTTGGTTAAAAGTTTTCAATATTATTTATTTATTTATTTATTAAACATCTTATAAAATTTTCACAATTGTAACCCTAATTACCTAGTTTTTATCTAATTTAATCTTCTCGAAATTCAGGTAAATACCAACATTCGCTGCCATACCGACATAATTTACAATTTCCTTCAATTTACCATCAATTTACTCAAACTCGCACACGGCCTTAACAGCTAGTATATGAATTGCTTCTTACATTGAAATTTGCGATTTTTTCGTATTCATATTTTATTATAATAACAGTTTTAATATAAGTACTAATTATTTAAACTAGATGTGTGACTATTCAAAGGAATTTGTGTTGAACAAGATATCTTTGTTCCAAAAACTTACAATTTAATTTATATATATGTTTCACAATGTATATATAATATTGTTTGAAGTTATTTTATTTCATATATTAAATTGCTCGAAAGAAATGTTAAAAGAACTGTATGCCTTTTCACTACAATCAATAAATTTGATATATTTGTATGTACAGGTTGACGAGTCTTCTATGACTGGAGAGTCAGACTTAGTAAAAAAAAGTATTGAAATTGAGCCGCTTATGTATGCAGGAACCCATATTATGGAAGGAAGCGGGAAAATGGTTGTTACTGCGGTTGGATTAAATTCTCAGGCAGGAGTAATATTATCATTATTAGGTGTAACCAAACAAGAGGATGCTGTTACAGGTAACTATACTGTTTTATGTAACACACGTACATTTATCCCATTACCAATTTAATAAGAAAGTTTTTTTTATTTTATTCAAATATAATGTAATATTTTTACTAACAATTTTCCAGTTATACAATTTTTATTTATTTTTATAAAGAGGCTTTTCGAACAGTAGTGAAATACAATAACAAAAATTTTGTTTTTTATATTATTTTAATTAATTGAATTTTTGGCTGACCATACAGCTGTTTCGAGTATTGCCAAATACCCATCATCAGTGGTCTTAGAAATAATTCTTGTATTTAATTATACGTAAATAATTATTTTTGAGACTGCAAGTACCAGGAATCGAACTCGGGTCCTGCCAAATTTGAAGCTCAGAATCAGCGCACCTTAATCAACTGATCCAAAGCCGTATTTTACGTTTTTGTTCGCATATTTTTCTGGAGTTTTGTTACTATTACTATGAAAGTTTTTATTAACAATTTTACTTGCTGTGTTTATATTAGAACGAAATCATAAACCAGCTGTAGAATGATTGAATTAATTAATTAATTATAATTTTATATTCAATTGTTAAATTTCAATACTATTCTGTTCGTAGAGGCATTTTTTTTGCACGATTTGTTCTTTCTTATGTATAGACCCTAATCTAGGAACGTAATGCTATTTATTTTTATTAAATAAAGTCAAGACTTTATAAGTTATCGTTATGCTCAATATATACGTTTAAATTTTAAATATTATTACACGATTACATATTCGTAGTCAATGATTTTCACCAAGTTTAGCAATCAGAAAGAAAAATCAAAAAAAAAATGTTAAGGCTATCATTAAATACAATGAGATTAAGAGTAACGAATGCCCTTAGCAGTCCAAACCCTATTATATTTTAATAGGGTTAATAGTAATAGTTAATAATAATAGGGTTAATTAATAGGATTAATAGTGACGAATGACCCTAGCAGTCCAAACCCTATTCTATTTACCCTTTTGAAATCATGCAATAAGAAAGTGTTCTAGCATTACATGAAAGCCCTCTAAAAACTGGATTGGTCGAAAATGAATTTTATCCAGATTTATGAAATGTGTGAAAGTAACAACACTGACGTCTCATTTTTGACGTTTAGGTTTTGTGTGTTGTTGTTTCGTGTGTAATTAATGAGTAAAGCTTGACAGCATGAATTGTGAAATAACAGAATCATTAAAAAACTTACTTGACATACTAAACTTATTTATATGAATGAGAGATTCAAAGAGATTCAAAATGTTCTCTGATTCGAAACTACAAACAAAATGGTCGATTTATGTTACTTCGGCATGTGACAAAAATCAAAAATGGAATACAGAGCATACAAATTAAATAAAAGGAAGAAAAATAAAACATTGAATCCCATTTAACTATATGTCTATGTCTTTCAATCAACATAAATTCAGAGCATAAAAATTAAATAAAAGGAAGAAAAATAAAACATTGAATCCCATTTAACTATATGTCTATGTCTTTCAATCAACATAAGTTCATGCTTCGATTTTTTCAAATTTTATTTATAGTTGAATATAATTCTGCCAGTTCAGCGCTCGGCTTTAACATTTTAAGCATATCAATATTATTATTTCTCTTCTTCTTTGTTCGAATATTTCTTGAGGTTTTGGCGTTTCTTTTGCTTTGGTTTCTCTGCTCTAGTTTCAAGTTACTTTTATCAGGTCTGCTTCATGTGCTTCATTTGTAACCAGCTGTAATTTATCATTCGTTACTGTTACTATCTGGCTTTTTGGCATGGTGTCAGTTGTAGCAGTTGAGTTTAAATAGATGATATGCTTACAGATTTATACTTCTTATGTAGTTATTTTCCACTGGTTTCCTTCTGATTTTCTCCATCTATACTTATCTCCTTTATTCTTTCCACATTGAGTTTAAGTATCGACTGTTGTTTTTAAGAAGCCATATAAAGGTATATTGCAATATGTTGGATTTGGTAATCAGCAAATCGAGAGTAGACCGAAGTATCGAATACGTACTATTGGCAGAAATGTGCGTCAATAATCGCGCTTTTTTTACGAGACTGTAACCTAAGCAGTGGTTTTTGGAAAGGAATGCTGCGTCAAGCAGCAACTTGGAAACGTGTTGTTATAGTCAATTAAGTTATACATTCGACACCCAAAAAAATATTTAGAAAAAACATAGCACACAAAATAGACTTAAACGAATAATATCGATAGAACTTTTTCACAGATTTGTCTAAATATCTAATTTTAATATATTATAATCAAAAAAATATATAATATCCACAATAGTTTTGCAAACTTAAACACAAAAATAAAATGTGCTTTTTAATATTTGAGTGTAGTTAATGTCACTTTACAAAATGTTATAAGCGCAATAAATTATCATTTTTAGAAGTATATTCATTATTTGGATTTTTTCTATAATTATTTTAGAAAAAAAAGGAGCGGCGAAAAAAAATGATGATAATAAAAGAGAATCACATTCCAAAGTTGCTCAATCAGCTAGAAGCAGTAAAAAAACTTCGAAAGCTGCAGTTCCAACTGAAGAAAATGTAAATGAAACGATCAAGATGGAGAGCAAGAAACATCAATCTGTTCTTCAAACTAAACTTACAACTTTGGCTATACAAATTAGTTATTTTGGGACAATAGCAGGTGTTTTAACCGTTATTTTATTAATAACGAGGTTCTGCATATATGAATTTATTAATTTATCAAAGCCTTGGAGAAATAAGTATATCAAATACTTCGTTAAATTTTTTATTGTTGGAGTAACTGTGTTAGTAGTAGCAGTTCCAGAGGGTTTGCCGTTAGCTGTTACTCTTTCATTAGCGTACTCCGTAAAGGTAAGTGTTTAATAAATGTACTGTGATTACGAAATCTATTTACATATAGATCATATAGATAGGTTAAATAATGAATTAAATTTTGAATAAATACAACCATTATTGTTAATAAAAGTTGCCAATTCTAATAATTTTATATATATCTTGAAGTCAAGTTATTCTTTAACTCTTCATAACTCTTTCTGAAATAAAGATAACATCTTTGACTTGTACTACTCGAACTTCTGGTAAATACCAATATTCGCTGCCATACCGACATAATTCACTATTTCTCTCAATTTACCATCAATTTACTCCAACTCGCTCATGGCCTAAATACGATTCCACAATTTTAATCATTTTTGATCTTACGAGTAGTATTTTTATCACTTAATAGCAAAAGGTTTATATTTATTTCTATATATTTAGTTATAGAATTTTTATAACATTAATTAAAATAAATGTTTCGGCTTGTAAATATTTGTATATAAAATAAATTTTTTTATTTATTTACTGTATTGTTATAAAAGAAAATGATGAAGGACAACAATTTGGTGCGCCATTTGGATGCTTGCGAGACTATGGGAAATGCTACAACAATCTGTTCAGATAAAACTGGTACATTAACAACAAATCGTATGACTGTTATACAATCTTTTATTGCAAACAAATTAAGGAAAACAACACCATTGTATGTTCATATACCACCCCATATTGGATCTATTTTAACTATGAGTATAGCGATTAACACCTCCTATACATCAAATGTTTTGGTAAGCAAGTTCAATATTTTATATAATTATTTGTTTTAAATCGAATAGTTTTGTATTGTAACTGGAAAATAAGTATAGAAAGCCTTATTAACTAAGGAATTTTAATTTAAAAAAAACTGTCATCGTCCACTAAAGATGGAAGTAAAAGCCTATCACCATCAACTTTGTTACTATTACACGCTACGATTTCGTTTTCCCACATTCGATGAGATTTCTTCCATGTTATCTGTGCAAAATATACTTTCTACATGGCCTCTACCCGTATTGACTAATCTTACAAAAAATTTTTATTTTCTTGACAATTTGCATCCATCATCCAATTCTTTTCAAATCGCACTATTGAGAAGTACACACATTACATTCTTATTTACAAAAACAATTAACTTTTATAATAAAAATTTATTGTATCGTTTTCTTTTTCTTATTATTTTAAGAACTTAAAATCATTTCACATTTATATATTTTGTTTCACAGATTGACTATAATTCATCCAAACTTCCAACTCAATCTGGAAATAAAACTGAATGCGCTTTATTAGGGTTTCTCCTAGAACTTGATATTAATTACGACGAAATCCGAAGCGAATTTCCCGAAAATAAATTTATTCATGTTTATACATTTAATTCTGCAAGAAAAGTAATGGCAACAGTAATCGTAAGACCAGACGGTGGGTATAGATTGTTTGCAAAGGGAGCATCGGAAATAATATTGAATAAGTACTTACCACAAATATTTTATTGAACGCTAAGCAAATTATTCTATGATTTTACTATATTTCAGATGCGATTTTATGTTTGGAGAAGGTGGAGAATTACGTGTTCTAACGAATGATAAAAAATTCGATATAACAAAAAATGTTATAGAAGTAATGGCCACTGATGGCTTACGTACTGTATCTATAGCTTATCGTGATTTTGTTATTGAAAAGAAAGAACTTAATGAAGAGGAAATTAATTCACAACCAGATTGGAGTAACGAAGAATTCATAATAGGTAACCTTACATTTGTTGCGTTAATGGGAATTGAGGATCCTGTACGTCCAGAAGTTCCTGAAGCTATTCGTGTCTGTCAAAACGCAGGCATTACCGTACGCATGGTAACTGGTGATAATCTTAATACTGCGCGTTCCATTGCTACTAAATGTGGAATAATTAAACCGAATGATACATTTTTAGTTTTGGACACAAAAGAATTTAATAAGCGTATACGTGATAGTAAAGGGGTAGTAAGTGAGATTTTCATATTTAAATTAAAATTACAATACATTATTAAACAATTTAAAACACTACACATTCTTACGATAATTAAGATATAATATAATTTTTTTATTGTGCATCATCGACTTTAAATGAGTAAGAAGTAAAGCTATGTTCTGTATCAAAACTTGCTCATAAAATAATGTCAATGATATCTCATAAAAAATACAGTTTGTCAACATTGTGTTGGCAAAACGAAAAAATGTTACAAATGCTTATTAAATGCACAATAAAACGGATTAAATTTTGAAATAAAAAATTAAAATGTTTACAAATTAATCAAAAGTATCATTAGAACAATAAAACAATTCACAAAAATAAAAATAACACCAAATTTGTTGTGTCAACATTGTGTTTGCAAATTACATTGTAATTAATTATTGCTTATAAAAATTATTTAAATAAATTATACAATATCAATTTATATTTTGTATGTAAGCCATTGGCCTCTACCACTGCTTGCAATCTGCTTTTCATAGATGATAAAAGCTTTTTAATGTCATAATTTAGGGGAATTTTGGCCCACTCTTCATTAACATAATCCTTTAACTACGTTTTGTTTAGTGGTTATCTTCCAGCCACTTTATTTCCAAAAACGACCATACATTTTCTATCGGTTTTAAGTCCGGACTTTGTGCAGGAGTGTCTATAACTTTTGAACAGTTATAAAGTGTCCATAACCTGCATAAATGCGATTTATGTTTTGGGTCGTTATCCTGGTATAGTTTGAATTTTAATTTTGTTGGGTTATTTGATTCAACAAAGCCAAACTTTTGTGCACTAAATACCATATGTGTCTTTAAAATATCTAAGTATAAATGTTGATCCATTCTATCTTCAATGAAACTTAAATTTCCTACACCCCATACCATTACTGAAAGTTTGCCAAATTTAACAGTGGGAACAATATTCTTATTTTGATATTATTGATATTATTTTGAAGTTGTTTTCTCCAAATTTTTGTGGATCCTGCATTATAATAAAGCATGATTTTCACTTCGTCACAGAAAATGACATCATCCCAGTACTCTGAATCATACCTTAAATGTGTACTAGCAAACTGAAACCGTTTTTCAATATTTTGAACAGATAACAACGGTTTTTTAAGTACAACTATTGAAGAATAATTGTTTTATAATAGCACTTTTCTTATTGTCTCATGACTAGCAACAATATCAAATTGATTTTCCAGATCAAATGCTAATGATCGTAAGGAAATTTGAGGATTTTTATCAATTAATCGCAATATTCTTCTTATATGGCGATTAGACATATATTAGCCTGCTGATTTTAAACTAATGCGATCCTCATTTTCAGCACTGTTTATAATATTATAAATTTTTTCGTTTTGCAAACGCAATGTTGACAAACTGTGTCTGAAATTATTGGTTATTTTATTGTGTATTAATCAAGTTTTGACATCAAACTTTAGAAACATAGTCAGTTGCAGTTGTAATATAAGCCGTATTTTTTTCATTCAGAATTGCAAAAATATACTCGAAACTTACAAAAGAAAACAAATGAACAATTGTTGTTCTTTGAAAATCTTCGGAGTTAGGCTTTACTCGCAAATAATTTTACGACCAAATTCAAAAATCAGTCTATTGTGAATATTCCCTGGAAATATCTTGCAAAATTTCAATCATCCGTCAAAATCATATTATCAGAAATAAAAACAAATTGCAATATATCAATACAATCAATTAAAAAATGCTTAGTATTTTCCTCCTATTATTTATTTTGATTTCTTTGATTTCTTAAATTAAGTAATTTTTAGTGTTTACAATTTTTATATTTCATATCAAACACAAAAAAAAAAAAGCCAAAAAAATTTGACTTTTAAAAGTGATATTAATTTAGACATATTGCTATTTTTTTAAAACTCTGAAAAAAATACGGCTTTTGTTAAAAGGCTACTGGTGTCTTTATGCAGTAATTCATAATTACTACAAGATGTTTTCGGTGGCTCGTAAATGTGGCAAAAAACAGTAAGTTGATGGCATATACCGGCTGAAACGTAATTAAAACAATAACAGTTTTTTTCTATCTAGGCCAATAGTGATACTGGTCAAACACTTCGGCCAGTAAAGAAAAAAGTGTTACCAACGCAATAAGCGAACTATTGTACAATTAAATGCCAAAAATTATATGTAAACAAAAGTTTAAACAAAATTTTATAAATTAGAGAATTGGGAAAGAAGAAAATATTTCAGTGTTTTATATTGAAATTTCACACATTCATAGCATTTCTTTAAATTTTCTATTCATTGTAATTTCAATTAACTATTTATTTTTATACAAAATGTAATTGGCTTTATGTGCACATATGCAAGATTTACTATTTGCCAAAGCAAAACACTTGACAGATTGCAACAGTGATGCCAATGTCTCGTTTAGCAAATATTGGCCAGTATGCATTTTTTGACAGACTTGCGAGCCACCGAAAACGCCTACTATTGAATTAAACAGTATTTAATTTTTTAAAACATTTTAAAACAATTATATAATATAATTTTTTTTTGCAGTATTCGCAGAAGTTGTTTGATACCGTTTGGCCAAGACTTCGTGTTCTTGCGAGATCGGCACCAATTGATAAATACACATTGGTGAAAGGTTAGTAAAAATGTTTTTATTATATATTTGTTGGAAAAAAATCAATTAATTATTTAATTATCTATCAGCCTATCTGGTTATTCAACTAGTTTACGAAGCTTATATTAAAAACGGATTTAAAGTTGCTTTATTATTATTAAATTTGGTGATTTTGCTTTATTATTTCTTTTATAATCACTATTTACTTACTTAGTTGGCCATTACAGACGTGAGTCGTCCTTAGCCGCGTCGAGTAGCCTCCTCCAGTCAGCCCGATCAGTGGATTGCTGTTGCCAGTTGGTTGTACCGAGCGTCCACAAAGCGTTGGTCACCTGGTCCTTCTACAAAAGATGCGGATATCCTCTACTGCGTTTTCCACCTGCGAGTACCGAATCAAACACCTTACTATCCAGAGCTGAATCCGCTGAACTTTTATGCGCTTAACTATGTCAATGTCAATGGTATATATGATATAGTTCATTGTTCCTTCTAATTCGATATTCGTTGCCAACGCGTAAGGGATCATAGATCTTTCGAAGAACTTTTCGCTTGAATGCTCCCAACGTCTTCTCATCACTGTTAGTAATTATCCAAGCTTTAGCACCATACAGCAGGACAGGCATTATAAGAGACTTGTAGAGCGTGATTTTTCTTTGTCGAGAGAGCCTATTTGCTTCTCAATTGCTTGGCAAGAGTAATTGTTTGTTGAATATCTAGGCTGACGTGATTTTTGATGTTTGGTTTCAATCTTTTACATAGTACGTTTGACAGAACCTTATATGCGATATTTGAAAGACTGATCCCACGATAATTGGTGCAATTTGCAGGATCATCTTTTTATTAGGATTGGACAAAGCACACTAATTCCAATCGTTGGATTTGCATTCAACAACGAAAAGCATTTTGATAGATTTTCGCCACCAGTTTTAAACAGCTCACCCGGTAAACCATCATTATGATCAAGAGGCGGGATGATTATTTTATCATCAACGATTTTTTGATGGAATGTTTGAGCCATATTTTACTATCCCTACAAATGTTTCTAACTGATGAAAGTTTGTTAGTGGTTTAAGCTTTTTTACTAGTTCCACTCCTGATATTTCCAGAAGAATGCTATCGGTGCTTATTCTTCTGTCTAAATATTGTATTGCATTCTTCAAGAAAAAACATTTCTCTCGCTTGTATTTTATGCTTTTATTGTGAAGAAATTTTAAAATTTGCTGCGTACAGTAAATATGATCGTCTAACGTTGATGTTGCCAAGGTAGTTACCACATCCTTTGATGTCATTTAGTAGTTCAAGAAAACGCTGAAAAATTGCAGGCGGATGTATTTACAATAATGAAGTACTTAGAAAACTCGTCTAATTCAATTTGAAGATACACTTCCTTTAAATCTATTGAACAATTATTATTTCGACGAACAGAATGCAATAAGGAATCATGTGTTGGAAGCGGGTATTGACCGATATTTGTTTGTGCATTGACTGATTGCTTAAAATCACCGCAGATGCATAGTGAGCCATTTGGTGTACATGCAAGAACAATTGTCGATGCCCAATTATTAAATTTGATAGGTTTCCATATACCAGCTTGTGTAAGTTGTTTAGTTTCCGCTATGAACTCTGCTAGTTGTACAAAACTTTTAAAAAATGTTGGAAAAATAAATAATAAACTTATTTTAAATTTGATAAATTATTGTTAGTTTTTAATGGAATGGTTCAATAATTTAATGCATAATAAAAAAAATGTCTTGGACCTTCGGTAATGATGTTCATTTTTACACTTCTGGCGAATTCATTTTTCAACTACATACATATGTTATCAAAAAAATATTGAAAAGGCGTTAATATCTCAGCTACTATTGTCAAATAAACTATATATATTATGATGTTATTAATTCAAACATGAAATATATCTTCAAGTGCAAATAAAAAAGTTATAAAACATAATTGGTTACATATTTGTTTTTGTACTTTGTTGAATTTCTTTAAACATATAAATAAAAACAAAAAAAATTAAATTTTAATAAGTAACCTCTTTATAGGCATTATTAATAGTACTATAAACGAAAATCAAGAGGTGGTGGCAGTGACTGGTGATGGTACAAATGATGGTCCAGCATTAAAAATAGCTGATGTGGGTTTTGCAATGGGAATTGCGGGCACAGATGTGGCAAAAGAAGCTTCAGATATTATTCTTACGGATGATAACTTTACAAGCATCGTGAAAGCAGTTTTATGGGGCCGTAATGTTTATGACTCGATAGCAAAATTCTTACAATTTCAGTTAACGGTTAACGTTGTTGCTGTAGCTGTAGCGCTCGTTGGCGCTTGTACAATACAAGATTGTCCAATAAAGGTATGTTTTTAGTATTACTTCTTAAACTTATTTTAATTATTTATTGTTTACAAAAAACATGTCTATACTTATTGTCAGATAAACGTGTCGAAAATTTTTGTACTTTAAGCTAAAACTGCTTTTATTTTGTTAAAAGTTTCACACAAATCATTTTACAAATTATTGAAACAATTTTAACAGTCATGGTCAGAGCCAGGATCCTGGGCAGCGACCTAAAGAATTTAAATTTTTTATTTCTTAAAAAAAAAATAAAATTAAAAAAATAATAAATAAAAAATTGTTATCAAAAAATGTGTCCAATATTTCCTGTTTTTGTGTTACTTTTTTAAAAAAGGTCGTTACATTGAAATCGATTAAATCTAATATTCCAATTTATAATTCCTTTGACACAGATAAAAAAGTGTTTTCTTGTCATATTAAAGCAAATCATAAATGTTACTATTCATATTACTGTAATGGGTATATGTTTCATTGTCAAAAAGACAAGATAAACCGATTCAGCATTTTCCATCGGAACACGTATACAAAATATTTGCATGTTTATTTATATATCTATTATTATGCAATAGTATATAAGAGATAAAAGTTTCGTTTGAAAAGCTTAAAAACTGGGACTAGCTTTCCGATAGACTGGTAAATTTATTTTATGATTTTATATTGTTACAAAAAATATATCTTTTTTAAATTAACGTCTTAATTTTTATAGGCGGTACAAATGCTATGGGTGAATGTTATAATGGATACGTTGGGATCACTAGCTCTTGCTACAGAAGCTCCATCAAATAGCTTGTTGCAGCGTAAGCCTTACGGTCGTAAAAAGCCATTAATATCCTTACTAATGATGAGGAATATAATAGGGCATGCAGTATATCAGTTGATTGTTATTTTTATTTTGCTCTTTCAAGGTGAGTGTAGTATTCAAAAAGGTTTGTGAAATAGTCATTCGCATTTACGTATGTAAGTAAACTTACAAACTTACGTATTTGTTTCTAATAACAATAATAACATATTTTTTTATGGTGAGGATGAGAAATAATATAAGCAACCTCAAACCCATCATAGTCGACATGATCTGTCAGACGAACTAAAAGACTTTGCGACGAAACGTATTACCTTCGTACTATACCTACGTATTACGAAGCATATAAAAGCAGCGAAAGCGGCTTTTCTATTATTCTTTTGGGTAATTCTCAGCATTGAAATATTACCTGTTATATACCATATACCATTATATATTTCACTACTTCTTCGATGTTATCACTGGACGCAAAAGCTGTGGCATCCATTGAGTTACAGACTCTAAACTTTGCCACATTTAATTTGTGGGATCCTCTTTTTTTGTGTTCATTGGTTGAATTTGTCTCGGTATGTGTGTAATACAACAGTTATTGATGGTTACTTTTTGTGTAGTTCTCAAAGACTATATTGGTTCATCTAACTAGCTATTCCTTTCGATATATGTCTGATGTCTGGGATGGTGCTTTGATATCCTTCCCTTTAAAAATTTAGGGTCGCTGTCATACTTGCTACTATTACACATACTCTGCCAACCATTTCATTTTTAATTCGGTTCCTTCAGGCACAACATATTGTTTAAAATTTTTTAAATCATTATCGTAACTATTGCAGTCACTCATCTCAGCTTTTCTTTTAAATTTTTCGGCATATTTTTAACTTCTTTGGTTTTTTTGGAGCTAATGTTTGGTCATTTATTTCACTTTGTTTAAGTTTCTGGCGTGATTTCCATTAGCCTTCTGGTTGTATGCTTTTTGCCTATTTTTTTGATTACGGTGCCATTGGAATTTTTTAAACGCTGGATATAGGCGTATTGTTCTCTCTGTATTTGACTAACAGTTTCGCCTGGGATACATTACTTTCATTTTACTATGCATGATTTTAGATTTATCTGGTAATTCGAACCCGTCACTCTTCATTTTATATATGTACTCAGTTTTAGGTGATTGGGATTATGTACACAGAACAGAGAGGCCAGACGAGGATTGAGAAATTTCTTCATAAGAAATAGGGTTTACATTTCCTAGGGCCAAGGATCTGGCCCTGAATTCAATTCGAGACATCGTTCAAAATGCTCGAGAAATCGAACGTAATCAGGTTTTCTAAGTTTTGGTAAAACAAATGCAGAATTAGCCTAAAACATATTTCTACGAGAAAATTCTGTTATACTCAGGTATTAAAATATTACATCCGACAACGCGAAAGATCATCTTATAATTTTGCTTCCAGTATTCCCTAATCCCACAATCAACCGCCAGTTGTGTGGTACTAACAATATAAGCCTAATATAGAATATAGAATTCTATCAAAATATAATATTGATAGAAGGAATCGTTTAACAAATCTGATTGATGTTGCTATTCTGCGTAATGGCAATATGGACCAGAATTATACCGAAAAGAGAAATAATTACGTACCACTGCGTAGGGTATTCAAAGACATTTAAAGACTTGAGCGTGTGGTTGTTGTAGCGGTAATACTATCAACCACTCGAATGGCTGATATTTTAATGATGGTTATAAATGATGTTGTTGATTTAAATATAAATATTATGAAGTGAATTATTATAAATACTGTCCTAAGAAAGAAACAAAAAAAATTTTATATAAATGTAAACATTATAAAGTAACTACATTAATAATAACTACTAAGTTATTACTTTGAAATGTTGAAATATGTAAAGAATATTTTTTTATTTTAAGGAGCCAGTTTGTTTGGCATCAAATCTGGAATAACTAATAACATTAATTCTGCCCCGACCAAACATTTTACTATTATTTTTAATGCTTTTGTTATGATGACTTTGTTTAATGAGATAAATGCTAGAAAATTACATGGGGAACGCAACGTTTTTGAAGGTCTAATGTTTAATCCAATATTTTGCTCTATATGGATAAGTTCCCTTTTTATTCAGGTTAATCCATATAACAGATTTTTGTTTTTGAATTTAACAAAATAACAATATTTCAGATAATAATTGTACAATGTGGCAAAAGTGCTTTCTCAACGCAACCTTTAACAATTGACGAATGGCTTATATGTTTTTGTCTTGGACTAGGCTCACTAATATGGGGACAAATAATTCATTTTTTTCCAATTCATTTGTTATCAAGGTAATAATTATATTTTTTTTTAAACGAACTTACTTATTTTTAAACATGCATTAAGATCTTCTGCAAGTCACGTAGCTTACAAGCCACTTGATTCTCCATTTGCTTGCGATCTATTTATTCGTTCGAAATTTATTACACTCTCATATACTATAGTTATACATAGGTATAGTTATACTTAAACACATTATAAGGCCTTTTCGGTGGCTCACAAGTATGACAAAAAATACATGCTGGCCATAGCAGCTTGCTGTTTTTTGCCATACTTGCGGACGATCGAAAAGGTTTATAGTTAGTTATATCTAGTCATAGTTATACACTTGTAAATAATTTTTCATTTGTGATATATAAGTTTATAGGTTATTCGTGTTATGGTAACTTCACAACAGCAAGTAAATAACCATATAATATGTACACATTATACAAGTAAGGCTTGCTTTTAAATACAAGTATTCACTTATTCAAAACTCATTTACTTAATAGCTACTCACATATTTACTTCGTTTATATGTATGAAATAAACAACAAAATGCAGTACTCTGATACTCGTCAGCTGATTATACATACATAAGTAAATTATACGCAATTGTAACGTGAATATTATTATGTGTGAATATTATAATAACACAAAATTTAAGCTTTTATGAATTTTTGAGTAGTATGCTTAACATAATAATAATAATTAATATAATTTTTAGGAAACCGACAAAAGAAACTGAACCGGTTGCTGCGAACAAAAGTGAGACTGATGGTCAATATCAGTTACTGTGGGTAAGAGGCGTAAAACGGCTCCAAACACAGGTAATATTAAGTAAAACTTTCAAATATATATACAATTCTACAAATTTTTGTTTTTCTTTCAGCCATATATAGGTCAGTATTTCATTGTCATTCCAGTATGACAGTATTCTATGAGTGTACTAGCAGTGATTAGCTGTCCATTTTATATATATAGGTTGACATATATGCTTTTTATTTCAACTTATTAAAGTGTTTTGTCAAAATAAACACTTTAATTAAGATTTACGGAATATTAATGTTTAGTGTAATTGGTGTTAAGGAAGTTTTTTGTACTACCCATCGGCCTTGCTATTGCTTATAATATTCCTATGGCGTGTGTTGGGTTAACCAATGAGTACACCAAAATCTGTTTAAAAGTTATATGATATCCGGATACAATGCGTCACCATAGTCTCTGCTTCTGGCATTATTATTATCCTGAGTTCTCTCTGAGCCAAGTCTCACAAATGAATCTTGAATAGCACTTGTAGTTACATTATTTTACCCCATCCCGATATCTAAGAACAATGCCAATAAGTATTGCTTGGAGTTACTTCTATTATAAAAGTAAGTTTGCTGAGATTTTAAAGCTGCAAAACGATTCAATCGATAGAGTGTTGATTTTGTTTTCTTTCTTTTTCAATTTTTTATTTCACTTTTTTCATCTTTTTTCATTTCACCTTTTGTCTTGAATAAGAATGAGGATGGGTTAATCAACCTGTAGACTTTCGCAGACTTTTTAACGGTTTTTTCCACTTTAGGTATAAAGAAGACTTTTATCATTCTTTAAGTAAAGGTTATATAATTAAGGCATGTCTATTCCTTTTAAGGAATTGCTATATTCCGCAAATCTTGTATTATGAAGGAAAAAATATTATTCCAACCTGGCAATTTATACCCCGAATATTTGTTAATGAAATCCTTTCGTATTAATTTTTAAGTCCGCATACAATTTTATGGACTGCAGATGGAAGACTTAAAAATTAAAATACAACTTCTCGATTGGTACCTATTGAACTTTTCAACATTTTCTTGTATAGAATCCTTTGTTTGTGTCTTTTCTTAGGTCTAAAATTAAGCTTTCTTGTCATGAATGAAGAAAAAGTTCTGGTACCATTAGCGCTTGATCTTTGTCTCAAACATCAAAAATTTAAGAGCAAATGATATTTCCGCATTTTATGTGATTGCAGGGAGAGCAGTGTTCACTGAACTATCGTTGCTATCGTTAAGTTGTGAAGTCTGAACTCAGCTTCCGTTTAAGAGTACATTGTTTAGCTTGATTTCAATCTGAATTTTTTATTTTGGAACTATTTCCTTACTACCAAAAAATTGGGTCTAGTCTGTATATTCAATAACTAATTTTTCAATTAACTACTATAAACATTTAGTAATTACCAAATATACAAAAATTTTATTTTTATTATTGTAAATGTATAGGTAGTTTTATTATGTAATTTATTGTTTACAACAATTGTTTTATTTATATTATAGCTACGAGCAGCAAATGCGTTTTCAGAGAATACTAGTTACAATTTAAATGAGCAATTGCAAGCACATCGTTCGTCCAAAAGGCTATCAGAAGTGGATTCGGATTCAGAATACAAGGATCTTGATGACGATGAATAAATATAACGAATCACATAATAAAACTGCGAAAATGTGTAGTGATCTACTAGAGCTACAGAGAAGTTTATTTTCGAACTTCTGTAGATATATATATATATATATATATATATATGTTATATATATAAATGTATAAAATTATATATATAAATATATAAAATTATATATACACATATATATATATTATACGTAGTACATATAATCAAAATTTTTAACCAAAAAAGCAAAACAATACAACAATTAAAATTTAATAATAAAACAAATTTCAAACAAATTATCATTAGGTTTTAAATTCTCTTTAGAAAATTACATCTCGAATGAATTTTTTTTTATGTTTTTTATTTCAAGTACGCGTTCTCACTGATAAGTGTTTGGTTTAAAATAATTGCACACATAACAATTGAAACACAAAATTGAAGCGATGTTAAAGTTCAACACAAATCAATATTACACATATTAGCATTGCAGAGGCAAAAGTTTATGTTAAAAGCTAAACCCTCACTTAGCTGCCGTGGCGTTGGTACCAGGGTCACATAACATTGACTAACTCTTTGCGATTCTTTATTAGGAGGCACTCAAAAAACTTCGCGTTCAAAGCTGTTTCTATAGATAATATTCCATAACGCCGTCGCTCCAAATTTTGACTACCTTCAGAGCTAACCAAGACAGATGGAATTTTAGCTCTCCTTATGTTGAGCAACACCGACCTGCTAACTGACGACTGAATTGTAAAGATCACCGAACCCAAGCTCGATTTTCTTAATGCATTTGTCATTTTTAATGAACAATCTCTCGCTTCAACATTTTAAAACTGACTCGGCAGCCCTCAGGCTCCGTCTAGTTCAAAAAAGAGAGGACATCCTGTTAATCCAAGAAGTTTGAGTTGTAAACAGTCGGGTTTGTGGTTGAATACAAACGGATACAGTACAGTATTTGTTGATATTATTCTTATTAGCGAACACATCTCACAATTACTAACCAATTGATCCATCTTACAGGACTGCTCCTTTTCAGACCTTAGATAGATTATTTCAGACCTTATCCTGGCGGGAAACTCGGAAAAGAGACCACCTAAGCTATTCAATAGAACACGTACCGATTTGACTATTTTTCAATTCACTCTTGAGTCCAACTCACAGTCGGCTCCTCTCACTGTTCATAACTGCTTCGATATCGATTGTTTGCTATTAATGCACATAAGTTTGCTATTAATGCAGCCTGCAAATCCTCCGAATTCCAGGGTAAACTTAAAGAAAACTCTCTAATGGTGCCAAAATGACAAGAAACTGCATTCCATATAGAGAGAATCAAAGGGAATTTAAATACGGAATAAAGCTGGCAAAACGGGTATTCTGGAAAAATGTCTGTGGGGACACAGAAACTTGTGAGTCCAGCCGACTGTGCAAAATTCTTAATTCCACACATAAGATTAGATCCACACATTATTAGATTATATCCGGGATCGTAATGGTCAATGGACCAACCCTAACACTCGAAATCCTTCTAGATAGTCACTTTCCAGGGAGTGTGGTTATTCAAAGTAACAAACCATACAAATCTTTAGTTTCGCACGGAGTAATTTCAGCTAATATTCAGTAAGGCGAATCAATTAAGTTATATTTATTCCTAAAGTAGGAGGGACAGCACAGTCTAGCTCCAAAGACTACCGGCCAACCAGAGTCTTTCTTCTTTTTAACTGAAAGTAAAGATTATTGACCTGTATCTTGGCAAGTCTGTTAATACAGCGATCCATACACTTTTCCCACAAGTGGATCGTTCCCTCTCTACCCTCATGAAGGCTCTCTTCGCAATGCTTCAATTGAATACATGTGCTTTAAACCAGACTTTAATCAAGGGTTGAAATCTCTAGTACCTAGTAGAGACCTTTGACAAAGTAGTCTTTCTCAACATGGTAGAGATTTACACAGACGGCTCCAAAATAGATAAACGATGCGATTGTGGCATATTCTACAAATAACTGGGTTTTAAATTTTCGCTTCGACCACCAAATCATTACCGTGTTTTTCAGGCAAAAAATATGGCAATCCGTTATGCAGTAAAATGTATCCGTGGCAATCAAATATCCGATGAAACTATTTCAATATTTTACCACAGCCAAGCTGTCATAAAATCACTAGTAGGCACTTCAGCCACATCAATTGTTACTCAAAATTGCTGTGCTTCCCTCAATGTCCTAACTAAATGCGTTAAGGTTCAATTCATTTGGGTTCCTGGTTATAGGAATATTTCGGACAATTACAGGGCGTATGAGCTTGCCAAGGTAGGTGCTCTCCACCCTGATGTTCACTTCTGAAATATTGGCGTTGCCCTTGCAATAGGTAAACTGGCAATTAAACAAAAATATCTGAGCTTAGCCAAGTAATATTGACCTGACAAATCCAGCTGTCAGATTTCTAAATTGATCTGGTCTAATTTGGACAAAAAACGTACCAGTCAGCTGCTTTATCTAAAGCGTAACCTGATCAGTACGATTATATCGGTGTGTAACGATACGGATACGTCATTTAATTTTGTTAAGGTATGACTAAATCGCGGTCCTGGTCATTTTATAAAATTTCTTTATTGATTAGTTCGAAAACTACTAAAAGGTCAAGGAGAAAGAAAAGGCGTTCCTTACTTTAGTTCAAAAAGATTATATGTTGGCGGCTCAACCGTCGAGCAAAAAACATTGTTGGTGATTTACAAATGATGTATAGATATAAAAAAACATATCAAGTGTAAAAAGAAAAAACAAAGCCGCGAGCTAAACACAAAAAGAGAACATGTAAAAATTTTCATTTATTATAGAAGAAATAGACACGCGAAACGTTGCAGAAAACAGGACGCAAAAACAACAACAATACTACACACGTTCGCAGGCATTGAGAATGAGATCGTTCAGTGTTCCGCAAAGAAGACAAAAAGGAGTAAAAGCAAAAAAGAACCAAAAACAACTAATAAACCAACCACCATGGACCAGAGGTGCACGAAAATAAAAATTTGCAACAACTTATGCAACGCGACTAAACCAATGGTACAAAGAGGAGTGTCGCTAAACTACTGCTGTGAAGATTGCGGCCTATATAAGGACCGTACAGTCAGCAGTTACGCGAACCGTCCGTGAACAATATCGGGAGATGAGGAAGGTAGAGAGGTGCCTATTAAAACGGAAGAAACGACATCAAGAAAGGCGCGAAGGGGAGGAAATCGAGATGTGTAGAAACAGAAATGATGCCCGTAAATTATATCAAAAAGTCAACCGTATGACTCAAGGCCTTAAGCCTGGGGCATCAACCTATAAGGACGAAAATGGCAATTTGGTACAGATACACAGAGTGTACTGAAAGTATGGAAACAAAATTTCTCTAAACTACCATCTGGCGATGATAACATTAATTCCGTCATTGGAAAAATGCTTTCGGAGTCCCCAATAGAAAATGGTGGTGTTGAAATTCCATCACCTAGCCATAACGAAGTGCGTGTTGCTATATAGCGACTAAAAAACAACAAAGCAACAGGCGCAGATAGCCTGCAGAATATGGTTGGATGAAAGTATACCCAGCGATTAAAGTATTAATACTCTTTGTTCTGCTTTGAAAAAAGGTCACCCGAAGATTTGCGCCAACTATCGCGAGATCAGCCTAATACTTGTCGCGTACAAGCTCTTTTTAACTGTACTGTGTGAAAGGTTGAAGCCACATGCCAACCCAATGATTGGACCTTATTAGTGCGGCTTTCGACCTGTTCGCTGCACCATTGACCACATATTCACACTGCGACAAATCCTGGAAAAAGCCCACGAACATAACACCGACACTTACCTTTTTGTTGATTATAAAGCATTTTTCAATACCTTCATTAGGGATGGCGTTTACAAAGCAATGTCAGAGCTGGGTATCCCTGCAAAGTTAATACGACTCTGCAGAATAACGTTGAACAATACCCGTAGCTCAGTCAAGATAGTATTGAATCTCTCGAAGCATTTTGATAGCATGCAAGGCTTTAAATAAGGTAATCCCTTATCATGTGATCTTTTCAGTTTCATCATTAAAGTAATTATGCGCAGGACAGGTGTTCATCGTAATGGAACAATATTTTACAAATGTTTCCAGCTCCATACTTATGCTGACCATATTGACATCATAGGGCGTAGCAAGCGTGATGTTACAGTTGCCTTTGCTGTTATTGAAAAGGAATCTGCAAGAATGGGTTTAGCGAACGAGGGCAAAATGAAGTATATGTCGGCTATGGGTATAAATGTGCGTCACTCGGACGCCAAGTTGGTGTGTGGCGACTATATCTCCGAATCAGTCAAGAACAACAATTATGTCAGCCTGGAGATCAGACGAAGAATCGCTATTGTTAATAGGTGCAACTATGGGCTCAGTAGGTAATTAGGATGTAGAGCTTTCTCTTGACAAACGAAATTTACGCTCTATTGGTCGCTCATCCTTTCTGTACTTCTGAATCGTTATCATAGAATAATGAAGCAGCACTGGGGGTGTTCGAGAGAAAAGTTCGAGATTTATCACGGTATTGTTATAATTCAGCGAATTAATATCCAGCGGTTTTGTTGGCTTGATCATGTCGTGAAAATGAATGAAGAAGCCCCATCGAAAAAGGTCTTTGAAGCAGTAGTTGGAAGAAGAAGGCGTAGAGGCATGCCAATACAAGAAGCAAGCCGCAAGTACACAGCGTTTACAATAAATCGGAATTGTCGTTACTAAGTGAAAAAAGCTGCGCAGGTTGAAAGCTCTATGATAACATCTATGAGTGTTGACAATATGAAACTATGGAGACACGTCCAAGCAAATGAAGACTTGTTCTCGTTTGAGACAGACGACAATTATCAGGATGGCCGAATGTAAAGAAGTGTATTACGACACCAGGGCAACACAAAATACAGTCTTGTGGTGAAAAGAGTGAAGCGGTAAAGTAGCAGCAGTTATTGTGTGGTAAAAAACAGAAGTCGTGCTGCTCATCGTCGCATCTGTGAATATTACATATTATTATATGTATTATTTTTCCACAAATTTCCGTCCTTACAGATGCTGACGTGTCGCTGCATACTAGAAAGACATACTATAAAATTAACATTAGCCTGATTTTTGTCGTGTTTGTGACTCTGCGGATGAGAAGGAAACTGTGCTCCACCTCATATGTCAGTGTCCATCTTTAGCCAAGAGAAGATCATCTTCGGGACCGCTTTTCTTACCGACCTAACAGATCTACTATCCTGCAAACTTTGAGACTTAAAAAATGTCCCTAATTGGAGCATGTATAAGTGCTAAACCTGTGGTACTACAACCGGCTATTACTTAATAAGCTTAAGTAGCCGCCGTTCCATCCTAACCTAACTTGTTTGTACAATATGAATATAATATGATGAAAACTTTTCAAAACAGATAATATTGAATTGGAAGTGTGAACGAAATTGTAGAGAAACATTTGCATAGTTTGCATATGACAAATGCATGGATGCATAACAAATGTCTTTGCAAATGGAATAACACGATTAGTCACCGCTTATAATTTGACATGCACAAGTTCTAAACCTGACACTTGCACTCCAAACAAGTCATATACGGACTATAAACTAACTAAAAAGAAATTCGAATATTTCCTAAGACCACTGATGATGAGTACTTGGTAATACCCGAAACAGTCTTGTATGGTCAGACAAATTTTAATATATTAAATAAATTTTGTTCTTGGCTTTTATTTGCTACTAGAATCTTTCTAAATTTGCACTTATTATTATAACACTTTGTTTTACAAAATTTATTTCGCGCTCCTTTTTTAATTTCTATTTTTGTTTTGTTTTTCAAAAAACAGCTGCGCTCACTAGCCTTTACACAAGGTTGTTCCATAAAAAATTTGTGCAAAGAGCGTAATCTAATACTTTATTTGTGTTACGCTTTTAGTTTCTATTTTACTTTACTCGAGAGTTTTATTACGAGTAGGTCATGGGCTTAATATTTATATAATTAAAACCTGTAAATGTATATATTATGGCCGTGTGTGAGTTCGAGTAAATTGATGATAAATCGGAATAAAAAATTGTACCTTTATTTACTTAATTAAATTAAATATATTTATTAACAATAATTTATATTATTTTTAATGACTATATTATAATATACAACCACGAATTAGTAAGCATTTTGGTTATCAAACAAGCCAATTTTAATATTTAATAATTGTTTTATGCTGTATAAATACATGAAATATACATGAAATACATAAGAGAAATATTTTTGTGATTATTTACAATGAACTACATTATTTAAAATTTCCTGGAAGTTTCGCTTATGAATATTATGTGGTATATACTGTTTGACCGATTGTTATGTGCGTGCTACAGCGAGCATTGCTTCCAACAAACATGTAATTCGTGTCGAATAGTGAAATTGGTATCTTATGCAATGGCATATCAGTTACTGCAGAATTGTTGGGGAAAGAAAATTTATGATGCTTCCTGAATTTTTAAAAGGTGTTTTTTCGGTGCCAGTTCTCCGCGCTGAGGAAGAAACTGCGGAGGAGGAAGAATTAGTTGACCCCCAGACTTCTTTAAGGGTAATATTTTATAAACCTTTATTTATAACACTAATATATGATTTTTTAGGAGAAGTGTGCGACTCATGGCAATACAGAATCATTATATAACAAATATCAGGAATGCAATGACCGCGTTAACTCTAAATCAAAAACAACAGAAACCTGCATGGAGGAGTTGTTTGATTATGTAGCAGAGTTGGATCATTGTGTTGCACATAGCTTATTTGCTAAGCTGAAGTAAAATGCACCATAATAAAAAAGTGGTTGAGGTTAAAAATAACATTGACACTTTTTGAAGTTATAAAATAAATATATCTTTCGAAAATTCAACTAATATTGAAAAAAAATTAAGATGCAGATTATTGTTACTATAAAACATTAATACAGTTGCTTTTATTTCTAAAATGTTACTGACAATTGAAGTGAATTGATTTTATGTACTATTTTTATTTTGGAATGCTTTTATAAGTTACTGCAGTAGTTTCGCATTAAAATGTACATAATTTTATCAAAGTTAAGAAATTATTGAAGTTTAATTATAGTATATTACTATATAAGATATATATATGTAAACTGGAATTGAAAGACATGCTTAGTCTGCATTGTCAGAATTTGATATTATCGTTCTATCTGCGGTATCTATTAGATTGTAATATCTAAATTAAATAACCTCTTATAAATGTAACGATACTTATTTAGACTCACTTTTAAGCTAATATATGTTTTCGTTGTTTCATAATATTAGTCCCAAATAAAAAATTGAGAAACTGCTTTATCATGGCAAAGCATTTATACGATGCATGCAAACATAACCGTACAGTTGCTCTGAGGATTAAGAGGAAATTAAGTGTCAATCTACAATTAAATTAAAATTACTTTCAATCTCAAGTATGTTTCATAAACAGAATAAAATACTCTTAATCTTAACACACATATATTTATCTACATTAACGGAAAGGATCCGACTTTTGTCACAAAGTACCGAAATAAAATATTAAACATCTTTATATTAAATAATCTTATTAGTTGGATGGTACTTAATGAATATTCTTTCTCTGACCACTGTTACGTAAAGCCTATTCTAGAACATAAAAAACCAAGACTAAGATTTTAATAGAGTAGGTCTCTGTTCAAACAAAAAATTGTTGATCTAGTGGCAAATTGGAACTGCACTTGTGGATACAATTAGATCAACTACGGAAAAGACTTAGATTGTCTAGATGGGTAGAACGCTCTGGACTAATGGTCAATCTGGCAAAAACTATGTAAGTTTTTTCTACCACAAACTATAACATTCTATACATCAAATAAGATCGGCTAATCAGAAGTGTAAAATATTTTGGCCTCATAGTTGATAACAAGCTAAGATCGACCAACTAAAAATAATATGGGACACCATATTCCAAAAACTTATTGGCGTAACTTGGGATATGATCGTATTAACCACAACTTGGATGTGTAAGGCAGTCGTCGAATCAATCGTATTATATGAAGTATTGATATAGCGCGTCACTATACAAAAAAAAAAACAATAATACAATGATGATTAAAGTGCAATACAATACAAAGGTTAAGGGCATGGCAACATGCTTCCAATGAGTTAATATCCTCTCTGAAAGACATGAAATACTCAAAAGAAAACTATGTACACTCGCATATATCTACATACACTCCAAAAAAAAAAAAATATATCATTGAAGACAATAAATTATAGTTATGTTTAAAAAAAAATTGGTTAAAAATGTTAATAAATGGTCGAACAATTTGAGTTGAGAGTTTGATTTTAAAATTTTTTTTGGGGTGTACGTAGATATATGCGACTGAGTGTATATACTCTAATAGTCATGCTGCAACTATTAGGGCACTGTAGCTCAAACTCTCTAAGCAGTGAAAATATGGCATTCAAAGTAAATGCATGGCAGTTAAACTTGCAAGACGAAATATAAATATCTTACTAGGCAGAATTTTTCCGTCTTGACAGGGGTGATAGCATGCTGTTATATTCACAGCTTCCTCAAACTATTTTTGTAGAACTTGCCGTTACAAGGAGGAAGGTGAGACGATTGAACATCTTCTATGCAACTGTCTACCTTTATAATCTAGAAGTAATTCCAAAAATTGAGTTATCCGTGGTATCATTATGAGTCAATAGGCTTAACTATGTCGTAACAAAACAAATGCCACGCAATCCACCACTCTAGTTTGAACAAAAATATAAAAAATAATTGTTTTGATGCTGATACTTTAAATAAATCTGTATGTTTAAAATTAAAATCTTAATACATGGGTTATTAACATATTTATTTTCTAAATCAATTTATACTGCTACCGCCATGTATCACATTAAAGCAAACTTGACATACTCTTACTGGTTTATTAATGCCAAACTTTAATATTGGAACATCATTATTTGAGCATTTAAAGCACAGAACTCGACCACAGTGTCGACAATGATGTTTTCTCATTGTCAACGTGAATTTACTTCCACACTCCTGACACAAATCTGATTCTGACCATGGTGATTCTTGAGGTAATTGATCAAGTAATTTATAAAGTAATTGATCCGTGGCTAATTTATAGTTAAAAATGTTTGCTCCCTCATGATTTTCTGTTCCAAGACATACTCCTTGTTGCACAAGTTTTTCACAAAGAGATACTTGTCCTCTCATATAGGACAATAGCAATGCGGTGTTTCCATCCATATCTGGAGTATTTAATGGATATTTAGGCATACATTCAACAAAAAGATCAAAAATATTTCCAGCTGTGTTATATTCTCCTATACGACAAAGTTCATGTAATGGATTGCGACCTTTTAGATTTGTAGCTTCTGCATTTATATTTGACTCTGTAAGTAATTCTCTCACAATTGCTAAATGACCATAGCGTACGGCAATATGCAAAGCATTGTTACCATCATTATCAACAGCATCAACGTCAGCGGCATTTTGCATAAGAGCTGATAAAGCAGTTAAATTTCCTTGTTTAGCAGCAATGTGTAGTGGAGTTTTCTGAGTAGCATCTCGCACATTTACGAGTGCGCCTGCTAATATTAAGTTTCTCGTTATAATTTCTTTACTAGAAGCTGCAGCAAGATGAAGAGGTGACGATTGAATTGCGTCATGAACTAAAGAGTTAACGTTTACTTGCATTGCCAAAAGAAATAATACGCTTTCTAAATCATCCTTTAAAACCGCTAGGTGAAGAAAATTTCGTCCTCGTTGATCTATTTGTTCAGCTGCATTTGGCATTCGATCGAGTATACGTTGTGCTGCTTTGTGATTCCGAGACAATAGTGCTGTTGCAAACGGAGTATTGCCATTTTTGTCTCGAATTTTTAAATCGACGTTAGGATGACACAATATAATAGAGATTATTTCCTCTTGTTGATTTTCTATAGCAGTATGCAATGGTGTTTTATTATCTGAATCAAAAGAGTTAACATTTGCGCCATGATCTATCAATGCTCGTAAAACTTTAATAAGGCCCCATTGACAACATAAATGAAGTGGCGAGTCTTTATTTTTAATTTCATCTTCCCCACTTCCATTTTCACCAAGCTGCCGCGGAGAATCTAAGTCACATTGATTACGAATTAAAAATATTGCAGCGGTTTCTTTATTTTCGTCAATAGCTCTGTGCAATAATGTTTGCTGACAACCATCTGGACCTGGACCCCAGCAATCAATATCCACTCCATGTTTTACAAGCACTTGTGCAACATCCTCAAATTCATTTTGTAATGCAATCCATAATGGGGGATCTCCCATGTTGTCTACAGCACTCAAAGACACTCCCTGAGAGCATAACACATCTACAACCTTCAGATGAAGCGAATTAATGATAATTACTTTTTTATGTTAAAAATTTACCTGAGGCATTTGATGAAGTATCGCTAAATGAAGAGGAGACTCTTGATTACTAGTTAATGCATTCATATCTGCTCCATGATGTAGTAGGAATATTGCTGTATTTGAATCACTTTTAAGGATTGATTCATGCAGCATAGTTAAATTTTTTCCATTTCGTAAATTAACATCTGCACCTCCAGTTATTAGTAAAGGAAGAAGCGTTGAGCGTTTTAAAGTTATTGCAAAACACAATGGTGTTTCACCATTTACATCCAAACAATTGAAGTTTGGTTTTTCGGATTTTAAATTGACGCCATCTTTAGAAAAATTGACGAATTCTGCAATCACATCTGGGGCATTCATTTCAACAGCTAAATGTAAAGCTGATTTTAAGTCAGATAAACTTGACTGAAAATTAGGATTAGCACCCTTCGTGAGTAGTTTCCCAACAAGTTCTGGAAAATTTTGAAAAGTGGCATCATGAAGTGCGGTGAAGCCACGTTTATTAATATGATTAATATCAGCATAATCTACTAAATATATTGCTGATTTTTCTAATCGATTTGCGATCAACTCTTGAAGTAAACTATTATGCGTTACTGATTTTACTGCATTAGTACATGCTCCCATATTTATAAGTCGAGTAGCAATTTCAAAGTATTTAGAATTTTGATGCACTTCCTGTTTATGTAAACTTAATTCTAATGCACTTTCATCACTGTTTGTACGAATATTTATATCAATTCCTGGATATGATAATAGAAGATCTGCTATGCCAAAATTTTCGTTATCAATAGCAACATGTAGCGGAGTTTGACCTTTAAGATTTTGTATGTTTACATTTGGTTTCTTTGTTAGTATTGCTTTCGTCAAGTCTATTAGATTATTATAGGTTTCTAAATCTGTTTCACTTTGACTAAATTGGCTAATAGCGTGAAGAGCTGTATCACAAGTTACTCTGTTAAAATTTTAACAAAATTATTTTAGAAAACAATTGAACCTATTGTCATTACTTACTGCGAAGCTAAATCCAACTGGCAATTATGATCCAATAAATATTTAGCTGCAAAAAAGTTACATTTTTGAATGGCATCGATTAAAATAGTAAGTCCCTAAAAGTTGTATATAAAGACATCTTGATTAAAATAATTTCTTAAATATTTCTTACTGTGGAATCGTAAGCATTGATGTTTATTTCTTCGCTTTGTACAAGTAGTTCCGCTATAGCAGCGTCATTTGCTTCCAAAGCCAATTGCAGTGGCAACCGTCCATGTTCAGATAAACTATTAATAACATTCGCTACCTAAATAAATTTTGTTTTTAATTTTATCATAGCAAAAAAATATTTTTTTAATTGTATATGTTATATTTTTTAAAATTATAAACATTATAATATATATCATATATACAAAATAAGTGCAATGTTATGCAGAAGTCATGGGCACATCAAATTTCAAATTGTTGTTGCTTTCAATGCAAATTAAAAAATTGAGAATAAGAGAAATATTGATTTAAATTTGGTCATGTTGACTAGGCTTTTTCAGGTGTAACTCGTCACGTTGATCAAAAAATTGTTGTTCAACAATCTCAAAAATTTTGCCTTTTAGAAGCACATTATTACAATTTTAATAGATTTTGGAGAAAAAACGCCACGAAGCAACAAAGTAAAGTTTATATTAGCTCAATAATCGAATTTTTGTTAAGAATTATTATAAACTATTTGATATAATAAGAAATAAACATTTTTATAGATCTTACGAGTTTTTTGCTGCAGTCGTAAAAGTAGTCGTAAATATTCCAAATTTACAATACTGATAGACTCTCTGCATAAGATGCATTTTGGTCATGACCAAAAAGAGAGTAAAATTGCCGGGACCATTCGTCAGGACCCTAAAACCTTTTGTTGATAATCTGTTTTATAATTCCTTCACCTTTTTCAAAGGACAAAATTCGCATGAATTGTAATTGCAGCATTTCTTAATCGGTATAACATTTGGCAACATTTGTCACTGTATGATCAGTGAACCATTGTAAAATGTGTGAATCATTATAAACATTTTTTTTTGTAATCAAACGTTGATGTTTTTTGGAAATAAAAAAAAATTTTTGCATGGTGAAATTAAACTCCCATAATTTGATCATCTTTGAAAAAAAATAAAATTATTAATGTAAATTCTATATTCTAACTTGCAGCTACTACTGTCTACGCCCACAAAGATAACATTACCAATCTGTCAATATGTGCATCGTAAACAGCATAAAACACCTAAAGTTGCTAATGCAAACATGCTAATAAGATCAATGTGCCACTAGCAGCAAATGTTACCCATTTATCACAGAACGATATATATAGTATCAATGAAGCTCCATTACAGGCTCTTCGGATAATTCGTCATTTAATCGTGAACAAAAAGGAATGACTATGATCTCAAACAAATTTATTTTAATCGTTGGCCTGTCACGAGTATATAAGTATATAACGAGTATATAAGTATATAAGCCAAAATCGTGAATGCCAAAGTGCGATCAATACAGTCGTAGTAATTTCTGCTCAAGAAAACACTTTGTGTAGGTGTTTTGTTGTTGTTCATTGCAAACTTGCGTAATCTGTGCATATAGTGCACCTTGCAATGAGTTTGCAAGACAGCTCCACATAAAAATCTTGCCCAATGAATTAGTTGTAATTTTGAAATACATTCATGAAATTTTGTGATTATCAAATGAATATTTTAGTATAAGGTGTATTCTTTTGACATGAATGCTCCAATAGCACACGTGTCGATTAAAAATTAACATCCAAAGCAAAAACAAAATTCGCAATAAGCCTCTTCCATTACAATGGTGCCAAATTTCAAAACTAATCTATTTTGAATGATTTTTGGAAGAAAATGGAAAACTTTAGTCAGCTGTTTATTATTTATAACTGTTGCGAATGTTAATGAGTAAATTTAAATATTTTAAATAACTAATTTTTTTAATAAAATTTGTGAAAATGACTGACAGGTTAGTAATTGTGAAAAAGTTGATTATTTATTGAGGAATTTTTAATTTGTGCTCATTAAAAATGCAATACATAAATAAATATAAAACACAATCGTTAAAAAGTGTTATATATTGCTCATTTAGTATTAACTAGTGATGTTAGAAGTTTAAAAATTATATACACCAAAAGACATTAAATGTATGTTTATTGACAAGTCTTAGTGCGTCGTAATATGTTTAGTAGTAGAATTATGAAATAAAATTTTAATTTTATTTTGTACAAATTACAATTTCAATCGAAATTTTATCTGTGAGATTTTTATACGGAATCGAATTGAATTTTCAACTACATTATGCAAAAAAAAGAGTCCATTGAATAAAATTATAATTACTAGATATGTTTGAATTGATTGTAACGTATTAATTTAATTCTAGTATTAGAGTTATAACAAATTTGTAAACGGATATTAAAATTTTGTGTCACGCTTGACAACATGGTGTATCGTGTCAGCACGGTCTTCGTTTTATGAGTAATGTTAATACATTGTGTTTTGTTGGTATGGTTGGTTGGTATTTAATGTTGAGCAAGAAGTTTTTATAGTGGTGCTGAATACATTTGTTATCTGTTAAATAAGAATTTTTGGTGCTAAAACAAAAAATAATAAATAGAATAGAATAAAATATTTCATATAAACTTTAACTTGACTTTATTAAAAAAAAAGTACATAAAACATGAAAAGAAATGACTTGTTAATTTATATATTTTTTTCAACAGTGTATATATCACTAATAGGTTAGTACTTATTCGATTTCACCAAGTTTTTTTTGTAAATATTTAATTTTTAGCATTGCAAATATTTTTAATGTCGTTGAACTCTACTTAACTTGTCGTTCACGGAATTTATGTTACAAAGTAGGTATACAATTTAAAGAAAACGTAATGACTAAAATGTGAAATTATTTTTTTCAAAATTAATATCAATAATAATTTAAAAGAGAATCATTATTAAAAGTGCACATATACATAAAAAAAATATCAAATTCAATTGGAAATAATTTATGTGCACAAGGATTTCTATAACACTTATTTAAATAACGTAGAGCAAAAATTGGAGAAATGCATAATATCCGTTTATTTCCTCACATATATAAACTTTAACCTGAGCTAATAAATTAACTTTTTTCTCATTATATGTTAATTTGAAAGTTTTTCATTCAACTTATGACTTTTATATGTTGAAATTTAAAATATTAAATGCGATTTGAAATGAGATTATACACATACAAACAGTTTTCGTGCTTTTATCAAATCCATCCCAAAACAAAAAAAATAGGGCGTATAATCTAATGATTCATAATAAGAGTACTCGGTATATATAAACATATTCAATTCTATATTTATGTATTAAATTCTTTTAAATGGATTAAACTTTCTCCAAAATCAAAGAAGTTAGTATTTTAAGAAATTCATGAAGACTTAATTATTTTTTATTTAAGAAAATGCTCTAGCAATTAAATGTTATAAATGTTCCGTTGCAATGGAGACATCTTTCATTAAAAATGAAACAATCATTACACAGCCTTGCGTTAAATTTGAACTTGGTGCAGAACAGTTTATGGTGGATTGCACATATTCAACAATGTGTGTCAAAACAATCTCGACACTCCTTTTGCTAAATGGACAAAAACAAGAAACAATAACGAGAGGATGTGCTCAACAAAAAGAAACAACTCAGGTTAAATTGATAAATATTTTTAATATTTTTTACACTAATATATGATTTTTAATAAAAGGTTTTTAGAAATCGTCAGTGGCAACAGGAGAATTCCATTCAAGAAATTTATCAAGAGGGTTGCGGTGAATTTAAAGAAAATACTTTAGCTGCCTCTTCAAATACTCATTGTTACTGTAGAACAAATTTATGTAATGGAAGTAGTCGACTTTTTACACTAATTCCTATTGACAGAATTTTACAAACAACATTTTTAATGTGTTCATTATATATAATAAACTCACAATTAGTTTATAATAAATATCTATAAAATAAACGAATTCAACAAAATGAAAACAAAGAAAGAATAACATTTTAGTCTCCTTTTGCTTCTCTATATTAATTTATTTTTAAATAAACCTTCATGTAAATATTGTTATGATATTAATAAAGTAAATAATAGGTTATTTGAATATGAAAGCTTTATGCAAATGTCAAATAATGATGATTAATATGTGTTCTGAATTGTATCAAGAATAGTGTTAGCCGATAGTTTATCAACATTAAAGAACTAATACAGGTTTTAAAATAAGCAAGAGATGACGAAGTTAGTCTCTAACTTGATCTGAAAAGAAAGTTTATATAGCTTTTGTCTGAATTGGGCTTACAGAAAAAATCATTCTCATAAGGTTTGAATTACAAACACAGAAATATATTTTAACTTGAACAAATAAGGATTGCTGATAATCCTAATAATTTTAATTTTATTTTAATGAACAAGTCAACGAGCGCATCCTTGTTTGCTAACTGCTTTCCTATACCTTCATCATTAATTCTTCTTTCCCAAACAGACAACCTTCCTTATCACGCCCCATTATGCAATCCACATTTTGTCAATATTTTATGCGCTTGCTATCGGCATTTGATTACAATGCAAACGAAAGCTTTTATATAAATAATTGTTATGAAAATAATAAATTATTTACTATCTTACAAAACTTTGAATTTAAATGTTTTTTTTTGAGTGAAATTAAATGCAAACCACTTATTCTTCAATTTATACCAGACACTGTACAATAATATACAAAGCAGTGGCAGTTTACCATTGCTTCTTAATAAGAGACAAAACCCGAATATATGAGCAAAATGTCTTACTTTACCATTACTTCTTTTTGCATTACTAATAGTCTATAGTAATGATGAAAAATAGAAATAAATTATCTTAAACTTAACTTATCTTTAGTTAGTCAAGCTACATAAACATATCGTCACGTACCTCTTTTTCTGCCATGTACAGTTTTACTGCATCCTCTCGTGATAATCGAATAGCAGCATGTAAAGGATGTTTTGTATTATTTTTAAGTAGCTTATGAAGCACAGGCCCAGCCATATATTCGAAGTCTTTTGCAGTAAGTTCATCCCATTGAGATGATATTAAGCTTGAGCAGCAATCGAGTAAATTTAAGGCTCCAACTTCTTCAGCAATACAATAAAATCGTACACATGATTTCACAGATACAGTGGATATCAACTCACTTTCACATTTATTAAAAAGACCGAGAAGTTTAAAACGATGTGCTGAGCGAATTAATCCTAAAGTAACATTCTCATCTTGTAAAGTGACTACGTCTGTATATATCCATCGCAGAAGTGCTATACAAACATCGTGTTCTATATCACTCCAATCCAATTCACTTGTATATGCTAATATATCTTCATTCCATGCTTCAGATCTTGCGTGAAAAACAAATTTATGCGCAGGAATAGTTTCTTCGCCTATTCGTACAGTTAAATCTGAATAAGTCGAGCGTCCATATATGGAAGCAACAAGTAATGTTAGTCTGGATACAAAACTAGAAACCTCCTTAATGGAATCTGTTTTAGGTGATTCGGCAATTACTTGAGAATATTTTCGTTGTAAATCAGAGTGCTCATTTTGTAATTTGGCAAATTCTGTTTTCAGCAATTTAATATGAGTTTCAAGTTTATTGGTGACAGCGTTATCAGTAGAACCTATGATGCAAATATGTGTTAAAGTTGGTATTAGAAATCATAAATTCTATATTACCCATCTCATTGAACTAATGCAAATAAAAGCTGGAACTCCTAATATACGCACAGAGTATTTGAAATTAAAGCAAAACTTTTTCCTTTTACTCAGATATACACTCTATCTAAGCAATTAACTACTTCTGCTTAATATATTGTTGCTTTATATTTTGTCAGAGAATACAAAAATTAGTAAACCTGACACAGACTACAAACATTATTCATTAGCAAAGTACATACCTACAATGGTCGTGTGCGACTTCGAGTAAATTGATGGTAAATTGAGGGAAATAGTAAATTATGTCGGTATGGCAAGGAATGTTGGTATTTACCAGAATTTCGAGTAGGGTATATTAGGTAAAAATTAGGTATTACCATTGTGAAAATGTTATAATATGTTTAATAATAATTTTGTTTAATAAATGAATAAATAAATTTATAAACTTTTAACAGAAAAAAATTTACTTCTGAATATTTATGTTTTTTAATAATTGTATCACATTTTTAAATAATAACTACTCCGTCCTTTTTCCAGATTTGTAAATCTTGCACCGTAATTAAAAACGCTTTCTAATGCTATTACCGTAAGCCTGAAGTGTTTCCTTATGCCGACATCATTTTATCGAATTAGCAATTTAAATATTTGTGTCAAGGCATCCGCCTTGTCACAGTCAGCACTAAATAAAATAGTTAGTTTACATAATTACTGATATTATTTTACACTTACTTCTAGCTATTCTGTTAATAATGCATTAAGAGGTAATTTTTACTTATTTTTGAAATTTCCAAAAAATTATTATATATAAAAACTTTCTTTGGCCATTTTAAAAAGCTCATAAAATAAAACATATAAACAGCTGATGTGAGTTGTTTCTAAATTCCATTTTCTGGAACTCACATACTTTTATGAAGAAAATTGCTAATAACTCGTTTAACGTTAATTCATAAAAATTCATTTTGTTGTAGTTTTTTTTTTTTACTGAGTCAGTACGTATGCGGGGGTTGAAATCGAATATGAAAAAAATGCTTCATATGAAGCGATCCCTAATTTCATACACGTACATCTATTTTTCCAAGTTAAAAACAAAGCGTATGTGCCCACTATAACGTTTTAGATTTTTATATACTTCAAGTGCGAGCACATTCAAAGAAAAATGCAAACCAACGCTTACTATGAACCACAGTTAGCTTTACGCCCTCCTGTCAAAATAAAAATAGTAAGACGTTTATTGATAGGATTGTCAAAAGAGATTTTATATTAGGGTTGACACTATTTTTATTTTCTTTTTAGCGCCAACAAAAGCTATTCATAGCAATTCTGAATACTCCCAGGGAATAAGTCTCCTATTCTCACGCTATTCCCAAGAATACAACTCCCTTATTCTGAATTGTTTGGGAGACAGCTGTTTTCGGAACAACAAAAGTTTTAAATTTGATTTGTTGCATTTTGGCAACCATGGCACTTTTTATTGAAAAAAAGTGCGAAAATAAGCAAAACAAAGAAAAAAATTGCGTATCATATGTTGATTTAAATGTAAATTAATTAAAAGAAATAAATATAATGAATACTTTATAAGTAAATAATTGAAAATTTTTATTTTATTTATTTAGTTTATTATTTAAATATGTATATAATTGATTATTTTTTTATATACAATAAAAAAAGTAAAATATCTTATTTATTAATTGAAATTGTTAATGCTTTAACTAAAATTTGAGCTCCTCTCCAAAACTCGTATTTATTTATTTATATAATTAGGATAGAAATGTCCTTTAATTAATAAACTAATAATAGTTTATGATTGTGCAGATGTTACAATAAAAAAAAGGCAAGTTTTGCCTGTATAAAATTGCAAAAGTTTATTTTAATATATTCTAGGAATCCCATTCATTTCAGAGTTTGGGTTTCTTTCATTATCCATTGTTTTAAATAACAATAGTTAATGCTTTAATTTATGGAAAAAAACCCTAGTGGATAAAATAAATAAATAAAAGTTTAAATATATTAAATTTGTTAAACTTTTATTACAATAATAATTTTAATAAAATATATTAAATAAAAATTTAGTTATATTAAATTTATTATAATAATTTTATTGAAAAATATTCAAAAATCTGAACATTATAAGTTACTTATATATTAAATTAAACTCTTTTTAATACTTTTTGAACTTGTCTCCCAAACAATTTGCTTAGGAAAGAATTTGTGCAAAATTGGGAAAAAATTCCCATTCCTATGCGATTCAGAATAGGCGAAATTATCTTTTTATCCATAGATTGAAATAACATTACAACAATTTAATTTTGATAACGGAAATCAAAATATTTTGTTTTTTTGTCAAAATTGCTTGTGTTTTTTGTATGTAATCTTATTTTTGTTGGCTTATATGCAAAGTTTCATTCTATTTTAAGGGACGAAGGAAAAAACATCGTTTAAATGTATGTATGATTTTATTTTGTAGTAAAGTTGTTGTTTTTTTTTTTGGGCGTGTTCAAAATAATGTCGACTGTTTTGATGTGTAATAGCAAGCAACGACAAAAAAGTTTGAGAAACAAATCTTATGTATAATACGCGCTTAACATAATATTCATATATGTATATTTATGAGTATTCGTGTACTTAAATAAATAATAATTCGTTATTACAAATAATTTAGAAACATTTAAATAATCCAATATTACATATACATTCCTTATATATTTTTCTAAATCAAGTATAAAGTTTTAAAAATATAAACATTAATAAATACAATAATTACAATTTTATATTTAAATTCAGTCACTTGAAAGTGTTTACATTCGTTGTTCTTCAGTTGTTCTCATTGATTTATCAACGTATCTGTTGATTTGATTTTTAGCCTGTGCCAAAAAAATTGTTGGATGAAGGTAAAATATACATTTAAACCTTACAATATAAAACTTATTTTTAGCTTCGATTAGTTACTTTTTGGGAAGTAGAAATTCCAATAAGAGATGTATCGTTTTAAACGAAATAAAACCACCACCTGTTTTTGTTAATATTTCGAAAACAGCTTTTTCAAGCTGTCCAAATGTCATGAAAAACTTTTATTTATAACTGACTTTATCACAAACTTTTATGTTCACTGTATTCATTTGCATTTGGAACATATTTGCCACTCGTTGGAACTTATTTGTACAAAATCAGCAAATTTTATATGCAAAAATCTATCATTTGCTTCTCATATGTAAGTTTCCACCCATATTACATACATTCGACGCAGTGTAAATGCCATATTACATTGTATGCGAATGTTATTTTGCGTTTTCGTTTATATGTTTTTTCGTGCGAACACATCGCATGTTGTGGTTACATTGTTACATTGCGAATTGAAAGTTCTATTTTAAAAACAAAATCCATAGTGAAGTTCCAATGTATTTAGCGAAAAGCCGTTATTATATTAGCTGCGTTTCAGCAAACATGATCCGCTCAATGATCTGAATCATCTTTGCTGAAACGATACGGATCACGTTTGAAAATAATTGGCAACGCATGAAATATGCCAGTTGGGTTTGTATACAAAATTTTTTGATTTTTGTGAATAATTTTGGCACTAAAAAAATAAGTAAGAACATTTTGAATACAAAAAATCTAAAAAATAGAAAAAAATTAAAACTATTGAGCTGTGTGAAGTATTAAATGTAAGTTTTTATTTAGTATTTACTTTAAAACTTAAATTTAATTCTATAGTAAATAAATGAAAATTGCAGATTTTATTAGAATCATCAAGCGAAACTGACTCTTCCATTCCCTTTTTAAATACTAGTTCAAGTGTATTAAACTCAAGGGATGAAGTGCATCAGCATGGATATAGTGGAAGTTTTGTGGAAACGATCAATAATTCTTTCGTTAAAAATTATTTGATTGGTATTTGCACATAAAAAATACAATTGCTATATATTAATTATGTTTCATATTTTAATAGATTTGTTAATAAATTCCAATCAGCGAATGCAAAATAATCGTGATGATCACAATCGGACGAGACCAATGAAGGAATTTTATATATTTTTGTGGTATATGGCAAATATGAATATTTTTTGCGAATTTGGTATTTGTTTTGGCATACCAAGAGCTTCTGTATGGAGAATAATTAAAAGAACTAATGTTAAGCGTATATCAATTGGACACTAACTTATAAAATACGCTCTTGCTAATAATGCAAAAGTGGAAGCTTCGAAAAAATTCCCGTTCGTATTGGTTGCATAAACCGTATACATGTAAAAATAAATGCACCAAACCATAGCAAATAGAATTATTTCAAAAGGAAGCATGACTGGCTTAATCTTGCAGGCAGATTGCGATGAAAATGGTTCTTTTATAAACGTGTATGTTGGAGAGCCTGGTTCCTTATGCATTGTTCTGTTTTAATTAAATAAATATATTCAACTTAATTTATATATATTCATATCAAATTAATTGATTTTAATAAATTATCAAACAACACTTTTTCAAAAATAATAAAACGTAAATAAATAAAGTAATAATTTTTGTTATAGTAATAGTTAAAGCATTACTTTAAACAAAGAAATAAATAATAATGACATATTAAATAAATAAGTACATAAAATAAATAATAAATAAATAAAATCAATAATAAATAAATATAAATGTAGATTTGTTTATAATTTTACTGCACCGTTGCATCGCATTGCCAACCTCATTTGCATTAAAATACGTTCCACTTTTATCTTTTACACACATTTCACATTGAACCAGAAAGTGAACCAGATCAATTGCTGGTTCACCCCATTGTTTTTGTTTTGCATGTAAAATTGAGCGGATCATGTTTGCTGAAACGCAACTATTATTTATTAATTTCAAACAACAAAAAACTTTATGTGTGAATGATTTTTATTCATCAAGGCAAAAAAATAGAGATCTTTTGGCGACTGTAACCAGTCGCATATGATTACGTACATTTGATTTGTTTGTACGAACAGGCAAAACAAAATTCGTATACAATGTAACCGCACCCTTATACAGTGTGGTCATAAGCATGTCTGATCATTAATAACTTCCCAAATGTAATGTTTGGATTCCACTTGTTTCTCTTGCAAGACTGTTTTTGTACACTAAAATATTGTTATTATTTTATAAAGTCTATGCGGAAGAAGTATGGGACGTAGAAAATCTAAAAGGAAGCCGCCGCCGAAGCGAAAGAATATCCAACCTTTGGATCAACAATTTAATTGTCCATTTTGTAATCATGAAAAGACATGTGAAGTAAAAATGTATGTGGTAACATTATGATTTTTAGTTATATTATGTTTATTTTATTTCTTATATATTATTAGGGATAAGAGTCGAAATACTGCAAGAATCGCATGTCGCGTATGTTTAGAAGACTATCAAACTTCTATTAATTTTCTTTCGGAGCCCATTGATGTTTATAATGACTGGGTGGATGCCTGCGAAACCGCAAATTGACATTTAATTCGTATGCCGTTTTATCTTTAAACATCTAATTAACTAAACTCTAAAAAACTTTATTTATAATACTAATTTTAGATTTTAAGCCCAATATTCATATTTTTTTTTATATGTATATTCTCAAGAAATGTTTTTTTTTAATGAAAATGAATTAAAATATGAAATATAAAGTATGTTAAAAAAATGAAGTTATAAATTAAGTAGTCTCTTGCTGTGGAGTGCACGGTAATCTCTTGCAATCAATAAGAATTGCATTTTTTCGATATTGACAATTTCTAATATTCAATTAGGCAGAATAATGGCAGAATTTACAGCACAACTAATTCAGCCTTAACAGACTTGATTAACGGTGTCACCCGATTCATCCTAGATGGAAAGCAAGATTGATTTTTAATAGTGGAAGAGTTTAGACTTTATATCAGTAATGATGAAACGTCTTTAGTCAAAAGTACGGTTTATATGAATAAATATATATTAATAAAAAATTTTATACATATAAATGATATATATAAAAACTAAGAAAGTACTTTAAAAGTGTAATTAATTTATAAAATCATTATATATTAAAGTAATGAGACGATTCACATAATGAAACGAACTGATTATGCTATTTTCAAATAAAAAATACACTATACAACCAAAATTTAAATTGGTATGTATTTTTTCAACTACATTTTTCCTGAACAAAAGGAAAGGTGAGTTAACTTTTGGACAACATCCCTTGAATATACAATTACGATAAATCGTCCACAAATAAGGAGTTTGCGATCGATTATACACCAACGTGTCTGTTCCAATATTCTCACACTTGGTATGATAACTGATATCATAGTAATCAGATATGCAGATTCCTGTCTGAATTAGTCAGTTTATGTGTATAGCACATATGTTTTAAGTTTTTTAATACATGATGTCTTGTTGGACACAAATCACAGATTGTCATCGACTTTGCTGGTTGAAAGTTGCGTATCAAGAAATAAGGTAACTGAGAATGATTGTAATACTGCTTCATTAAAGCACGTTTGTAATTAAATTAAGCGTAGGTGATGATGAAAACTATGGCCAATTCTGAGTCTCTGAAAGCTAGAATCTTTTTCGTTTAAAAATTCAAACTTTGAGTGACGTTTACGTTTATTTCTTCTTGATTCAACTCCTAGTGTTGACGTCTGTGCACAAAAAACAATTAACAGCCTTCGGACCTTACCTACATATAAAACTGAAAAATCCTATTTACTTCAATATAAACGAAATGTTTATTTCTTACAAGTTATATCTTGGAATTTTATTTACTCCGATATACATCTTCGTAATCATATCTTATACACATGTAATATTCAAATATTGTTAGATGAATCCATTTGCAGAATGCATTAACAAGTTGGGTAAAGTTAAGAAAACTGTTAAACAATAATAAAAATAATGTATCAATTTTATATACTGAATTGCTTTCACATGAAAAGAAATGCAATAACACAGTAACCCTTATCGTTTAATTTGTTATTCTCGCGCCCAGAGCTCTTATTAATTTTAAACAGAATTTAAATTTATTATAATAGAAATTTTGCTAGTCGATCTAGGAAAAGCTCTTGGTTCAACAGATATATTAATCTTAAAAATGCAGATATATTAATCTTCAGACGTAAGCAGTATAATAGCAAAATTAAATTACTTTGCTATAGCAACATCAATATCTTTTTCATATACATATGTTTTCTCAATTTCGGAAATTAGCTTCTATTGGAATTTATACGGATCTTTTGAAAGAAGTGTTTTCGTGATTTTATCAATTACAAGCGGTATACTGGTATCTGTAGCACCCGTAAAGTAACTGGCACAGACGATTACTTACTTTCACTGGCCACAAAAGGATTTGATTTTCTTTCGGTACCTTTTATTCTGTTATAAAACCGTATATAGTATATAGAAAAATGTAACTCGGGGTTATTGAATATATTGATAATAGTAACAGTTTAATAATAAACTTTCCACAAACTTCTTTCCACAAATATCTTACTGGTGACTTCTCTAAATTAAACAAATTGAACTTGCTATTGACCCCTCCATTCTGCCTTCAATGTCTCAATTTATTATTATAAACTCATTTTAAAGGCTTTAAATCTTTCATGCTTTCAGCATACTATATAGTTAAAAAAATATAGCTATATAGCTGTCGCATCTTTTACTTCAAGTAATGAATATTGCAGGGACCAGTAATAATAATTGTTATTATAAATAGCCATTGTGCCAATGTAATTTTAAATATAATAATATAAGTCATATTAATATATTCTAAAAATAGTGTTTTAAAATTGTGTATTATGCAATCAATTCCAGTTCAGTAAAATGTATTAAGCAAAGAAGAAACGAAATTGAGACTTCACATCTCAAATCAAATAGCCGAAACTACATTGGAAAATTCACAATTAAACAAGAGTTTTATTATTACTTTATTATTTGCTTTATAATATTTAATATAATTATTTTTTTTTATTTTTTAAAAAATGTAGACACTATATATCTATTCTATTTTAGTTGTGTATATATGAACAAACTTTTATATTTTACTTATTTGCAACATTTTTAACCTTAATATTTCATCTTAAAAACTAAATGTTAACTTTCTATTTCACGTAATGTTTCTAAATATACGAGTATAAATTAATTTAAAAATACGTTGCCAATATATTATATTCTACTTATATTTGATGTTTTTATATAAATATGCCCATGTAAAATCTGCAAAATTAATTCTTCTTAGCTTGAGTAAATTTCATATCAATTAATATGTATATGTATTATATATAAATTTTTCACAAATATTACTTCTGCTATAGATTTATAATCTCAAGCTATATTTTTAAATTTAAGATAAATTCAACAAAGAATAAAAAAGGTTAAAATTGTTTTTATTTTCAAATCGAATGGCTAATATTTTTAACAGATTATTTTGCAAAATTGACTTAATTCACTCAGTAACAGTAAATAAACAGTGTATATTGGCAAAAAATAAAAATATTTTTTAATTTCTTATTGTATTATGGACATTTAATTTACATGTAATATGAATTGTTTTCACGTATATACATATTTATATGTATTGTAGTATATGAGGTTTATAAAACTTTGAAATTACAACAATTTTAGGAATTTATCCATATTTTGCTCTTGAAGGGCAGATTTCAACAATATTTTTTATTTTATAAATGCTATATCCCAACATACTTTAATTTTTAAAATATCTTCATATAAACTAAATGAGTATTTTATTATCATATATGTATCTAATACAAATTTTAATATTAATTTTTAAATGGCATTTATAAGGAATGAGTTTTACCTATTTAGATAAAATTTTTTAATTTTTTTGGAATTATAGTTAGATAGAAATTAACAGAATCAAATTATAATTTATGGTTATACATTGTTTTAGAAAATAATAAGTTATTACCCTTTATAACACACATGATTTAAATAACTATTGTAATACATTTTTAATTTTTCAAAATTTCAAAATTAAATATATATCGAATGTTTATCACTTTAATAATATAAAAATAAAGTTTATGGTTACAAAACTTAATGTATTATTTATATAATTATTATCGTTGTTTTATATTGCGTGTTTTTATATAGTTGAGGAATAATTTCTGGAGCAAGTAAATATTTATAACATGTTTCTTATTTGGATCTTGACTGTGATATTTTCATTTAAAAATACTATTTGATATATAACAAATACTTTTTATTTTTCTTTATATGAACACCATACAAAATAAATAGAAAATGATTCTGTTTCTCCGGACGTTTCATTTCTTTGGGATAGTAATTTATTTATAGAGTTATTATAATAAAATTATTTTAAAATTAAAATATATTTTAAAAATATTCAAATCAAATTTTCTTGAAATTAATAACAAATGTGTATGTCAAATAAAAAAAAAAGAAATTAACATAAGTTACTAAAGTATATAAGTCAGGCATTAATAATTACAAATTGAATTCAATTAAATGCTGATATTTTCAGAAGTAGTGACAGAATTTAGTATTTATAACTTAAGTCCCAGAACCGAATTTCATTACAGCAATAAATTTTTATTTGAGTATCATTTCTATATTTTATTTACTATAAATTTTTGTTTTAGTTTACTATATATGTCTTTTTTAATTTCTAATCTTAATTGATATAATTGAATAATGAATGATTCGTTTTATTTGATACAACTATACAAATAATAAATTTACTTCTTAGGTAACTTTGATATTACTTTTGTAAACAGTAACAAACGTTACAACAAAATAACACTACATAGTGTCTCCAGAAAATAACCAGTTCTATTATAACCAGTTCTATACATTCATTGCTGAATAAATATAATTTCTACAGCACGAATTATATATATAAAACAGGCCTTTTCAAATAACTGCACACATGTGAAAGACATTTTTTAAATTTCTTCTACGGGACGTCCTAAAATTTTAAAGTTTTTGACGGATGTTTGTTTTCAAGTCGTCAAAAATTTAACAATTTTCCAGATTAACACAAAATCCAGTGGTGACAAATCGTACAATCTTGGTGGTAATCAAAAGCTAAAGTTACACATCTGGAAAATTTTAAAGAGCGGAAAAGCTAAAACAAGACATATTGTTAGGTTAGTGGCACTTTCCTGCTTAAATTGCATATCTTCTAAATCCCTATCTTCAATTTTGCACCAAATAAATTGGTAATAATGTGGATGTATGGATCCCAATTGACAGTTGGTCTCTTACCTTCGTCATTTTCAAAAAGTAGGGGCTTATCAACGCAAATACACCATTATACAATAACTTCTTGTGGATGTAATGGTTTTTTGACAGTTACTTGTGGATTTTCAAGGTCTGAGATGCCACAATTTTGGCTATAGAGTTTTATCACTGAAGTCAATTTCATGTGATTTCTGTAGTAAGTTCTGTCTCAATTTTAACTCGTCCAACAGTTATTTATTAATCTATATTGCGAAATGGCAAGCATTTTTGAATCAATTACAAAATTTTCAAATTTCATTATACTTAATCACACATTTAAATGATCATGTATTAAGGACAAATATATATCTTAATAATAAGATTTATTTTTGTAATAATATAATATTCTAAAAAGATGCAAGTCCGGAAAAACATGAAAAACCGTTAATTGCATGTGTAATAATTGTGACAATTTAGATGTCATATAACATATATGTTTCAATTTAAAGGATTTATTTTAAAGGAGTTTTATTTATTAATTGTAAAATATATCGAAATAAGAATTATGCAAATAATAAACATACCACGGTTTTTGTATAAAAATGAAAGTTACGACCTAATCTAATTTGCAGATGCATGAAGTATTTTAAATATTATTTTAAATATTATTTTATAATACTACTTTTACTTTTATATACTTTTATTTATACAATAAAAGCTTAAAAACAAATTAACAAGTCTGTGAATCATAAATTTTTGGCACATAAAAATTCGTTTATAATCTAAAACTTTTTTGTATATAAAATTAATTTTAAGTTAATACTATAAATTTTAATCAAATGCTTGTTATGGTTAAATGCAAATTATTATTATTATTTGGCATGACACATGTAAAATTAAAATTTCACAAAAAAAATTGTTTTGGAGCCCAATAATTATTTAAAATCTTAATCTGTTAAGTTTTATGTAAATACCATTTGTAAATAAAACTTGAACTTTGTAAACCTAATCAACATATACCAATTAATTGACGTATCTTATAATATGAACATAATTATTTCTCTCTAACAACTTATTAAATAGAGAATAATAAAGTTTTATATTTTTGTCATTTAAGAATAATCACAAAGACGACTATTCTATTATTTTGAATATTTTAATTTTAATTCATATTCCGTATATTTGAAACAGATAAAAATTTCTTGCCATAATGTTATTGTGGAGGCCGACAACGTCCACCAGATGAGCCTGAAAAATCTATATTTTTTTGTTCAATGATGGGAATTCTATCATCATATAAGGTTGGAGCTTGTAAAATTATTCCTGCTGTTCCAGCAAGAACTGCTAGCGTAAAAATCCATAAAAATAGCCTATCCAGTACCATTGCGACATACTTCCAGTCTTCTTTAACCTAAGCCACGGATTTTAATAATTTGTTTTTTATAAAAATAAGTTACATATTTTTAACATAAATAATATAAATAATAATTACTTTAATGGAGTCTTCCTGCATTTTTGTATGTTCAGCAATAAAGCGAACACAAAAGCAACTACGATGAACACTTGGTGGGCATTTTGAATGTGAAAAGGCTGGGTTGTTTAATACAGGACTTTTCATTACTGATGGTTTCATATTTACATCTGGTACTGCGGTTAAATCATCTGAAACGGACTGCCCCAACTGCGATAAAGTGGGCCCATGAACTTGACAACTTCCACCAAAAGGACCAGAATCACTTAAGCTAAACATATTAAAATGAAATGTATTTTTCATATAATTTCAAAGATAAAAATTGCTTGCTTGCTTTATCTAACAAAGAACACATTTCTTAGTACTTAATCAAAATACTTGTTCATAAATATGTATAAATATAATATATACAATTATTGTAATTTAGATTGTATTTAAAATTTTATAAAAAAAAAGATTTTACCTTCTAGAAGAATAATCATCTTTTAATGATGTTTGAATATATCTACTGGCGCTGTGGTCAATATGAGTAGTAGAAAAGTATGGATAAAAGCAAGCATGCGTGTCCTTCAATTGCATCTTACTGTAAAAAATAAATAAATGTCTTATAATCAAAATATTTATTAAGTTTTACCTAGAGGTGTTTATGTCAAACAAATATATAAATAAATTTGGTTTATATTTTAAGAACAAGTTATTTTCTGATATTTATATTTTTCTGAATATACATTTTTTCTAAATATTTTTCAATTCAATTTGATTCAATTTGGGCCGTAATTAAAAGGTAAGTCAAGATATTTTTACATTTTTGTATACAGTGAAATCTCTCATAAAAATTATGTTTACATTGCACCCAAATGATATTTTGAATAAAGTTGAAGTTTTAAAACCTTATCGTATGATGTTATGGGCTCACTAATTTCTTCATTAGATTTTTCTTCTGAACTTATGTCCATAATATCGCTTTGTTCTCTAAATTGAATTTCAACATTGATGTCTTCAGTGTAAATATTTTTGTCTATTTGGAAAAAACCGTCGAAATCATTTTTCAAATCAAGTCCTTCCTAAAATTTAGCATAGATTGTGAGCGTAATATCTGTCATTTTCGGGATCAAAATTGGTAAGACTTGAATACAATTTTGAAAATCCTGCTTTACGGAAGCAATTTTAGATTATTGTTGTTTCTACTTTATGCCAAGAATCTTTAATAGATTACGACAGCTTTGAGGCTGACCTCGTAGTGTTAAGTTTACATAGCAAGTGTTTTAAAAGTAAGTTCCTATAAAAATTTTAAATATTTTGGATTGCCTCCTGTTCAAGGGGTTGGCTTGCTGCCGTTGTGTTTGGAAGCAAAAAAGAAATATTTATATAAGTTAAGCTCTAATAAAAAATAAGTAATTGTTATTATATTTTTATCACACATATTTTATCCATATTGCACAATATGTTTAATTCCCTTGGATGATATGATGCATTATCCAAAAACAAAAGAATTTTTTACTTCTGAACTGTCATTTTTTATGGGACTGCTGCAGCCATTCATTCATTACTACTGGAGTCATCCATGCTTTTTTACTGGATTTCCAATCCACTGGCAGTTACTTGATATCGATCGATAATATCGAGTTGCTCGAGGACGGGCTGTTTTACTTACAACTAAAAGCAGTCGTATATCTTCAACCATGTTTGCACAAAACAAAATTATAAGTATTTCCTTTGAAAATATTTTACTGCGGATGCATTTCAGGTATTCATCAGTTAGAGTTTTATCAGATAATGTGCGAAAGAAAAGCCCTCTTTCTGGGCTATTTTGGAGAAGGTAAATTATAAATTATATTTATTTAATTATTGATGACTAAAATAATTATTTTCTACACAATTACAAATAGATTTCGTATTATGGAAAACTGTAGATTTTTAATACCTTGTTCGGTATTTTTTTTTCAATTTTGTCCATTCATGATAGATTTTTTGATCAAAATGGTTTAAAATGTAGCGTCCGTGTCCTGTTATTAGAGCCTCCGGTTATTAGAATGATATTTGTTTAAACAAATTAATGAAAAAGCTATGTCCACAAAATTGAAGCTGTCCGGTTAATAGAATTGTCCGTTATGAAGAATTTCACTGTATATGTATTTTGATTGTGTAATGTAATATAAAGGAACAACATCTTAAAACAGAAATATGGTAAAGGCTATTATTTGACTATTTATATTTTCCAATGGTTTTGTTATTTGTCATTATATAATTGGTTATGGTTTTCGCCTCTTAATTTTAGTAAAATTTTGATAAATCTAAAAACTTATTCTTCAAATATAGTTTGAATCGCCATTTAGTCTATAAAAAAACATATAAATTGCTAATTTACCTCACTTCGAAGCTATACATTGGCCTTTTTATAAATAAGAATTTAGGTAGTAATTCAATGAACAAACGCTTAACCCATGGTGCCATACGATGTGTTTGTGGCGATCGAAAGTGAACGTTGAGGACAACAACTGTTACACATATGCTAAAAATAAAAGTTAATTTTGTTTTGTGATTATATTATTAGTTTAACAACGTTTAACTAACCTTATGGATACCAATATCATTGCAAATATTAAATATTTTCCCAATAATGGAACAACCAATGATGTTGGCGGTATAATTTCCACAACCAATAAAAAGAACACATGGAGACTAATAAGAATTGATATTGAAAGCGTAACCTATAAATTATTTATATTCATATTATATTTTTTTTGTAAAATTCATAGAACTTTTACCTTTTCTCCGCTATCTGATGGGAGATAAAATGTTAGAACTGTTAAGAAAGATATACCCATACATGGTATTATTATGTTAACTGTATAGAACAGAGTTTTTCTGCGCATTGTAATATTAAATGTTATATCCAGATACGGCTCGTCGCAGCATGTATAAAATTTTTCATTCCTGAAAAATTTTATTAAAGTAATTATACATATACCAAAGGATAAAAATTTGTAACGCATAATAATCGTGATACACGTTACGCAAAATGTAAATCGCTTTGTCTAAATTCAATACACTTTAATATAATAAAATGCCTACCTTACAGCTGGAACTTCCAATATATCCCATTCAACGGACATGTAGAACTCTGAAAGATCCACACCAACATCTACAACATTGCTGCCTTGTTTTTCATCCATATGCCTTAAGTCCACCTTTTGGTAAAGTGAGTTATATAAGTATGCATTTTTTTAGGTATTAATTTAAAACAATCAAACAAAAATATTTAAAGACCTTAGTTTATTTTTCTTTAAAAACTTTAATAACATAATAGTAATTATGTTCTCTAATGAATAATAAAACATTTATAAGTTCGATTCTGTATTTTTAAATAGTAAAATGCATGCAATAATTTTCTTTACTAATTCAAAGTTAACAAGTAAATAATTTATATACATAATGTCAACAGGTCATTTTATTATTAAGCATAAAAAAAATATTATAATTTAATTATATAATGTAATTAAATAAAAATACATAAATGAAATTAACGAAATTAACAAAATGTAAACTGGTAGCAATAATCAAAGAATAAAGATCGTATGTGCAAAATATGTACTAATTACAACAATTAGCTTAAATCGCAGACTTTTTTTTGGTTTTTTATTGTCTTTGTTGTTATCTGCAGGGCAGCAAAAAAATTCTATAAATTTAAAGATGCAAAAAAGCAAGGTGAACATAATGACAGCACTGTAGAAACTTTTTATTTAAACCAATCGTTTCAACATAGTTCTAATTATATTTTATACCAACAATAATCAAAAAATGCTAAAATAATATTTATAAGCCAATGTGTAAGTAACATTAAACACAAATACATTTTAATATATCGAAATTGCAATTATAAAGGTATACATATAGCAATTTATTTAATTAGAATTTAGTTTTAGTTATTATATCATATTAAATACTTTTAAGATAGGATTCTCCTAAAAGTTATGTTAATGTTAACAAAACTCTTATATAATTCAAAAAGTTAAGTTAAAAAACTTTACTACGCTCATTTCAAGAATATGTTTGCTGTTATATAGTTTCATACAAAAAGATGTTATATTTAGTTTTTCGGGTAGAAGATCTCACATAAATATAAAATTGACTGAATTATCAATTTAGTTTAATATAATATATAAAAATTTGCCTCTAATAATTATATAAAAATACTATAAAGCAGAGATATGTCATACATATAATTACAGTGGAAAAGCCAGGATTTTGTTATACTTTCATTAAAAATCTAATTTATTAATAGTGTGTTAAATTATGTTAAATTAATAGTATGTTAAATATTTTTTTGCTAATAATCACATAATTTAAATGTATTTGTAAGTTTATTTAAAAAAAATGTATTTGTATTAAAATTTTTAAATCTCTAGTCCCTTACTAATAATATATAAATGTACTTAAACATTTAATTCATCTATACCCAACTCTCCTTTTACATTGATTTTTTTAACGATTTCAAATAACACGATTTGCGACTATATTTTTTGAATGCATTGTCTTTTCTAACACAAATTGCAAACGCAATTAAGCATACTTACTTGCAGTCCAATTGTAGAAAACTGAAGGAACTACATCTGTTGGTAAACATTATTATTTTTAGGAAGTGACTACCAGAACTACTTAAAAAAATAAATATTGCATTTGACAATCAGTTCGAATTAGCTTGATTCATCGATAAAACGTGCGTTTGAAATCCACTAACTTTAAGAACTAAAAATGCATTAGCAAATAAAAATTACACTACATTATTTTAAGGAATAAGAACCTTTAGTTAATTTAAAGTTGCTAAATGTGTTGGACTTACCTGCTGATCAAAAAACCATTCAAAAAACAAAGAAACAACTCATGCATTTAAATTGTTTCTTAATAATTTAATCTAATCTGCATTATTAACTATATCTATAAATTTATATAAATTATTACAACACGGATTTTCATAATATTTTTACTTGGATTTTTAAAACCATATACAGTAATTTTTTTTATTTAATACAGTTTTTAAAAGTTGTTTTAAATAACTTTTTGCACAGAATGTATCTACAGTGTAAAAAAAGAGTTGGTTATATATATAAAATATATAAAATTAATATCGACCATAAAATAATTAATTGTTTTCAGGTTTGAATAAAAAACTACATTAAAAATTGATGCTGATTGATCATTATTTTCAAATAAAAAATTTTTTAAGGTCGATCTATTTCAATATTAGATCTTTCTGGCTCTACTGTATAATTGTATTAGTTATTAAGAATTTACAATTTAAGCTAAAATTTCTAATTTGATTTCAGATTCAGAATCAGATTCAAATTCAAATTCATATTTCAAACTAAGTTCCCTTTGCTCATATTCCAAGTATACATATATTTTATTTTTTCGCAAAAGAATGTTTTCGCAAAGATAGAATATAACATAGTAGAAATATTTAAACACATGGGTTTTTATTATTGCTTTAAAAATTAAAATGCTTTGTATTTTTTATATATAAACAAATTCCGATTAAATTTTTATGTGCAAAATAATTCTCTTGGCGTACCAATCCTTGGAATATAGAATGATTCTTATAATTAATTAAGAAAAAATTTTCTTTTATCTTTTATCTTTAGCTCTTATTGACATGCAAAAATAAAAATTTGTTAACTAAAAGCATTTTATTCTACAAACATATATATTTTTAATATAATTAAAACACACTTCAAAATTAGTGGTCATGCTTTGTACTTTGTCGAGTAGAAACTCAGAACACCCGTGTCTGTTTAATTCAGTTGTTCAGATGAATGTGTTAAACACAATGATACTATGATCAATAAGATGTAACATACATCTCTATGCTATGACTCGCAGTTACAGAAACTTAAGTAGTAATTAACTTAATTGCTTTGATAATTCAAGAAACGATATAGAACAATATACAAATTGTCGACTACTTTGCACTTCTTATGAACAATTTCATCTTATGGTTGTTAGTTTTAAGAAGAAGTAATTGAGAAAATAATTGTTGCCAGTTACAATCACTTCTGCTCTATATACATACAAAGTATTATAAACATATTCTATACTTATTTCTAGTACATTAAAATAAATCATCAAAAATTTAGAATTGCAAATAGTCTATAATATTGTGTTGAATTGTTATTTTTTAATTAGTACGTTATTTATATATATTATATGCAGAAAGTGTGAATAAAATAAGTAAATACTGTGGACCAAAATTATTTAAATTAAAAATTACTTATTAAATTCACGAGATACTGTAGCATACTGATTTATAATAGGAAAAAAAATAAAAATCTCTGCAAAGATTTTTGTCAGATATAATTCCATTATATAGATACCTAAAGTAAGCATAAAATTTGTTCACAACATTTGAAAGACCCTTTTATATATATTAATTATATTATAAATTTTACCGTTTATTTAAATAAGTTTAGAAAGGATATAATAGATTTGAAGGAAACTTTTTTGACCTGAGTTAAATTCATATAACACTGTTTGTTTGTGTTTATTAGGCTACGGGAAAGGCTATTAAAACTGAAGCAAGTTGTTTGTAGATGGAACAACACTAAATTTTTGATTAAACAAAATTTACACCAAAACTGCACTATAATAGCTTACGAAATCTAATCGTCAACAAAAAAATTTATAACAGTTTTTATTAGAATTGTTATATGTACTATAATATATTCTTATTATTATATATTATATTATGTAAATGTTATTATATATGTATTATTATATTAATATTATAATTATATTGTATTAATATATTAATATATATATATATGTAATCATAAAAATGAGACCATAACTTTATTTAGTATTTAAGAAATACAGAAACGCTTTTAGAAAAAGCATATTGAAAAGTTCTACTTTCAATTAAAAGAGAATAGAACATTTTTTGCTCAAAAATTTTATTTAATATTAGAGATCTAAATGATTTAGTTATTCCTGCTTTTTCTATTTATTAAGTCTATATTGCATGTTATCGGCCATATTTCTTTACATATATGTCAAAACCAATAAACAAATGAAGAGACATCGTCACTTGTATATCAGTAAATTAGAAATATTTTTATGTGAACAGAAAACAGAAATTAGACGATCAAAATTGCATTTTTTTGAACCAGTAAAGATATTGACATGAAATTTACTTAAAAATGGCCTTTCTTTCGAATCTAAACGTTGCTCGCTTAAATAAAAACAAAATAGACGACATAGATGAGATGGTTCACGAGTTGTTTCAAGAACAAGTGACTGGAGAAGAATGTTTCCTAAATTCAGGTACTGCGAACGTTGTTAATGATGTCACATTGTTAATGAACTAACACAAAACCAAGGAAGGCATGCCTGATACTTAACATATGAGAAGCTCGTAACTTCACAACAGAGTTCGAAACCGATATCAAATAAAAATCAAGCAAAAGAATTTATAACGAAATACAGTTTTTCATAAGTAGAATTAGCTAAATGCAAAAGAAATTGCGGCCAATAACAAAGAAACTGAATCAGTCAACGAAACTCGCGAACAAAAATACATTGATTTTATTTCTTTTTATCGTTATGATATTGTATTATATTATCTTTATACTTCATTATCATTATTATATTATTGCAAAATATTTTAATTTCAAATATGTTGTTATTTCAATACAATAAATTTTGATATCACTTGCCAAGAACTCCAAAATATTTAAAATATACCACTTTCCTTGTTACTGTATTATCAGACAAGATATTTAAAGTTTGTTGAATCTGCCACAATATTCATTATTTTAAGACCTTTATGTCCACGTATTGTGTTTTATTAAATATACAACAGAGAACAACAATGAGTACTAACCGCTCGAGTAATATTGGAGTGATTGGCTGTATTTCACTTATACTTAGTCTGACTCTCTTTTTCGTATATTCGAATCCACCTGACTCATACATAAAAATAAAAGTACTTATAATGATTTATACTCTTCTCATATAATATTCTTTAATACTTATACTGGACACAAAAATGATGCAAGTGATTTTGATATGAATCATTCATGAGTATTACGTCACAGTCAGTAAAAATTTTCCTAGTATTATTTACTGCACATATATTCGTGTATTATGGAAAACATATTTAACATGTTGTCATTAAGCTTGAAATATTGAAATAAAA